ATGAATCAAAGAGTTGGTTCTTTGAAAGAATAAATAAAATTGACAAGCCCCTAGCCAACCTTATTTTTAAAAAGGGACGAAAAAGCTCAAATTCATGCAATAAGAAATGAAAAAGGCAAAATCACTACAGACCCTATTAAATACAGAAGATCATCAACACCTATTTGGAAAACCTCTACTCTCAAAGGTTTGATAACACAGAGGAAATAGACAGATTCCTAGAAGCATGTGAGGTACCAAAGCTAGGTCATGAAGATGTAAAACTGCTGAATAACCCAATTACTATTAATGAAATTGAAAATGTAATTAAATCTTTACCTACAAAGAAGAGCCCAGGCCCAGATGGATTCACTGCAGAATACCATAAGAAATAAAAGAAGACCTAATGCCGATACTCCTCAAACTATTCAATGAAATTGAAAGGGAAGCAATCCTTCCTAAGTCATTCCTGGAAGCAAATATTACTCTAGTACCAAAACCTGAGAAAGACCTAACTGAAAAAGAGAACTACAGACCAATCTCCCTAATGAACACAGATGCAAAAATCCTCAACAAAATATTGTAAAATAGGATGCACCAAATCATCAAGAAGATCATACACCATGACCAAGTGGGATTCATCCCAGGCATGCAGGGATGGTTCAATACACATAAATCAATAAATGTAATCCACCATATCAATAGAGCCAAAAGTAAGAATCACATGATCATTTCTATAGATGCAGAAAAAGTTTTTGATAAGGTCCAACATTCATTTATGATAAAAACAGTGCAGAAAATTGCAATAGTGGTCTTTACCTCAATATAATAAAGGCCATCTATGACACACCAACAGCCAATGTCATACTAAATGGCCAAAAATTGATGGCCTTTACTGTAAAACCAGGCACAAGGCAAGGATGTCCCTTATCACCTCTCCTATTTAATATAGTACTGGAAATAATAGCCAGAGCAATTAGACAAGAGAGAGAAATAAAAGGCATAAAGATAGGAAGAGAAGAAGTTAAATTATCATTATTTGCTGATGACATGATACTCTACATTGAAGATCCCCAAAACGCCATTGAAAGACTCCTAGATATAATAAATAAATTCAGCAACGTGGCTGGATACAAAATCAATACTCAAAAATCAAGTAGCATTCCTATACACTAAAAACAAAATCACAGAGAGAGAAATAAGAGAAGCCACTCCCTTCAAACTAGCAACCAAAAAAAAAAAAAAAAAAGAAATATTTAGAAATTACTCTCACAAAAGAAGTGAAAGACCTATACAGGGAAACTTATAATACACTGAAAAATGAAATTGAAGATGATCTCAGAAAATGGAAAGACATCTCTTGCTCATGGATAGGAAGAATAAATATTGTGAAAATGGTCATTCTCCCAAAACTTTTATACAGATTCAATGCAATCCCGATAAAAATACCCATCAACATACCTCATAGATCTTGAAAAATCACTCCTCAAATTCATCTGGAGTGAAAAGAGACCTAGAATAGCAAGGACAGTTCTAAGCAGCAAAGACAAGGCAGGAGGCATCACAATCCCTGACTTGAAGTTTTACTATAAAGCAACTGTAGTAAAATCAACATGGTAATGGAACCAAAACAGAGCTGAAGATCAGTGGAATAGATTAGAAGATACAACCACAACTACAAACACACTCAACCACCTTATCTTTGATAAAGCAACCAAGCAGGTTCACTGGAAGACGACAGTCTCTTTAATAATGGTGTTGGAAAAACTGGCTCTCCATATGCCGAAAACTAAAACTAGACCCATGCCTATCACCATGTACTAAAATAAAATCTAAATGGATCAAAGATCTAAAAATTAAAACAGAAACACTAAATCTATTGGAAGACAAATTGGCTAAAGATCTTGAAGACACAGGAGTAGGCAGAGAATTCATGAACAGGACTCAAACTGCATGGGAAATACTTCCCAGAGTCAATAACTGGGATCACCTCTTATTAAAATGTTTTTTCACATCAAAAGAAATCTCCAGCATAGTGAAAAGAAAACCCACAAACTGGGAAAAAAACTTAGTGAACTGCCCCTCAGACAAAGGACTTTTGTCTAAAACATATAAAGAATTAAAATAAATCATATCTCTGAAATTCAAAGACCCAATCCAAAAATGGGCATCTGAGATGAATACACAATACTCAGATGAAGAAATACAAATGGCAAATAAACACATGAGAAAATGTTCATCATCATTACTCATTAGAGAAATGCCAATTAAAACTACACTGAGATGTCATCTACTCCTGAAAGAATGGTCAAGATCAAGAAAACCACCATCAACAAATGCTGGAGAGGCTGTGGGGAAAAGGAACTCTCCTGCACTGTTGGTTGGAGTGTAGACTGGTACAACCATTGTGGAGGTCAGTCTGGAGATTTCTCAGAAAGCTGGGATTGGAAGCCGCATTTGACCCAGCTATTCCACTTCTAGGCATATTCCCAGAAGAACTGAAAATATCATACCACAGTGATATATGTGCACCCATGTTTATATCAGCACAATTTGTAATAGCCAGATCTTGGAAACAGCCTAAGTGTTCATCAACTGAGGAATGGATAGAAACGTTGTGGTATTTTTATATAATGGAGTCCTACTCAGCTAGAAAGAATCATCATATTAAGATATTTATAAATAAATGGACGCAGCTTGATACCATACTCATGAGTGAAATAAATCAAGCTCACATGTATAAATACCGCATAGTTTCCCTAGTATAAGAAATGATAAGAATACATAAAAGTATGTGGTAATCATGATTCCCAATCATATTGGTTTGAATCCATATAATGTTTTCACTCATTAATTGGAATGGTTTTAATCTGAGTTGTTCGATTTTAGTATCTGTGATAGTACAAATAGCTATTTTGAAGAAAACAAGACACCATAATAGGTAGTGCTGATTTAATGTCATATTGTTTTGAAGTCCAATCAAGCTGTTGTTTGTCTGTTTCCACTGGTTTTAACATGTTGTATGTTATTGTATTTTACTATATGTGATAGTATAAACAAAAATTTTTATAGGCAAAGTGATAATATACAAACCGTTGTTCATTTTCTATTAGCTGGTTCTAAATACCCTGTAATTCTTTCATTCTCTTTAATGGCTTCACATTATCTTGATATGTTTGATTCTATAGTACACGAAATTATACTCAAAAAACTCAACGAAAGAGACACTATGGTGACTACTACTATGTCAGGTTATCTGGTGGTGAAAAACAATGATGCTTAAATTGTTCGGTTCTGACCTGTGTTGTTATGTTGTTATGTCCTCTTTTAACTCAATTTCCCCCTTTTTAAAAATTAATTTATTTTTTCTTATTTTTTTAATTGAGGGAAAACTAAATTTAAAAATAGGGGGATATATTATAGCACCTTTTTTTCATATTAACCTGATTTGAACCCCAGTATTGCTCTCCCCATCTTGTTTTGTCTGATTTTACTATATTCTGCTGTGTTTGATAGTATCAAGTTTGAGGGTATAGGCAACCACTTTGAAGGCAATAAGATTTACTATGATGCCCATTATGGTTTGACTATTATCTTCTTTTGAGGTCCTGTAAGGTCTCCAGTGTAGGTTTTATTGGTCTTGTTCTGTACTGTTTTGGTCAATTCTATTATGATGATAGATATAGGCAACTCTTTTAAAAATAGCAAGAGGCATAATGGTAACCATTTTTGATCACCTGGTATGCTATTTTTGCATGTACTATGCCCATCCTTCTGTTCTAACTGACTCTGTTTTGTTTTGTCACATTTGGTTTCATTCTCTTCAAAAAATGTAATAAGAACTATGGGAGTAATAAAACCCAAAAAGTGTAATTGTTATTGTAAAAAAGGGAGGAAAAGAAAGTGGTCTAAAGAATATAACTGCATGTATTTTTAAGTGTGTAGGATATAAAACCATATTACTGAGTTTTTGTTGGATCATTGAACAGAAAGAACTGTCTGCAGTCTCACTGTATGAATGTCCACTTTGTATGCTTTAATTTTGTAATTTGGACAACTGTTTCTAAGATGACAGTGTGTGGTCTATTAACTGGTGATTTCTTGCTGTATGTTTTTTGCTTGAAGCTCTGTATTATTTTTACCCTCTTACTGCTTTGTGTTTTTTTTCCTTTCTTTTTTCTCTTTAAATAAAAAAAAGAATCAGCAAATGGTAATAAATTAGGTTACAAATCTTTTGCACAGAAAAGGGTACAAACAACAGAGTGAAGAGAAAGCCTACAGAATGGAAAAAAGTGTTTCCAGCTGTCCCTCAGAGAACAAATATCTGAAATGTAAAAATACTTCAAAAAATTAGATCCCCAAAATAAGTGACCCAGTCTAAAAATGGGCAACTGAAATGAATAGTAACTTCTTAGGAGAAGTATAAATAACTAGTAAATACATGAAAAAAATCTCTGGTCAAATTAAAACACTGAGATCTTATTTGTCTTCAAAAACAGTGGCTATAAACCAGATAAGAAATGTTGACAAGGCTGAAAGGGGAAAGGTACCATTCTACATTGCTGGTAGAAATGTAAAATAACAACTCATTCTTTTACAGAAGAATCAGAAAAGACTGACATTTTTAAAAAATTTATTTTGAAGAGAAAAAAACCAAACAGAATGAAACAGAATAAAGCCAATCAAAACAAAGCAATGACAGTAATACAGAACTTCAAAACAAGGTAACAGAAAATCAACAATAGCTATCATAATGCCACATGTTATCTTCAAAATTACTGTCCACACCATAAGACCTAATAGAATCTAACAAAACAAAACAAAATAAAACCAAACCAAGCAAAACAATGAAAATGATATAGGACTTCAAAACAAGGTAATTGGAAATTAACAATGGCTAGCATCTTCCATTTTTAGACATTTCCTCCTCTTTCACCTTCACAATATCTATTATACTTTTTGGTACATTAACTTCTTCAGTTTTTTTTTTCTTTGTAATTTTAAAGGGAGTAAACCAGAACAATAAAATGAATTAATACAATGATAAGACAGTAGGAAACATACAATACTTACTATATTGCATATTGCTGTCCTGTAAATAGTTGCTTGGCTTTAGGCTTGCAAAATCCATTGAATAGCACAGTTCCTCCAAATCAGCTGGTTGCCAGATGTGAGTGGGGGATGCTCTCCTCTCCTGGCCCACACTCTCCACAGCTCACTGGCAGGAACTTAGCTCCCTTCCTTGTTCTCTCCAGTCTGTGCTTCAAATGGCTCACAAGTTGCGGCTTAACTTCCTTCCTTGTTCTCCCTGATTTGTGCTCTAAATGCAGAAGAGACTGACATTTGCCTGAGCTCCACTCTTCTAATCATTAGAATTCTGACAATAGAAAAAACATGCACATTAAAGATTATCATGTCATACAAAAATAGATTTGTCTGTCCTAGGCCAAAAGAGAAGGCCAGAAAAGAAAAGAAGGGGCACTAATATCTAATATTTGGTATCAATTCGTGGCCTAATTTTTACCTGTTGAACAGAAGTAATTTCATAGAATGTCAACATCAAGTGAGGACTCTTTAGGATGAAAATGGAATGAGAAAATGCCAAATCTACACTATGATTATGCCTGAGATGCCAAGCGGTTACAAATAATGACGAAATATTCCATCTTCAGATAACAGCAGTGGTTTCTTTCTCCAGTGGCGATGCTAGCTATTCTGTTTCTTCAGTTGCCTAGATAAAATGATCCAGGTATCCAATTACTATACTGCCCTCACATTAACAGGCATCATGCCTATGCACACAAGAAAAACCTGTGTCCTTGAGCCTCTCCTCAATTCACAACATAAACTCAATTTATATAATTAACTCTTCCCATCTCCCTCTTGCTAAGATACCTGAGGCTTGTGCATGGAACCCAATATTACACGTCGCAAGAAATTTTTAAAACTGCATCATTGGTTCCATGCATATACCCTGGTCTTTGACTGATAGTATTAACAAATGAATGGATGTCAGGACGGTCAAGCGGTCTAAAGCAGCAGATTCAAGTATTAACAAGTGATTGGATAAATGGGGTTAAAGTGCTCACTTCAGTGGCACATATGCTAAGTGGAGTTAAAATGCCATCTAAAATACCCATACTGCATAAGCTCATTCATATATTCATTTTTGTTGATACAACTATTGATATTAACTCTCCAGTAGATAAATCAAATCAAGTTTTATTATCTAATGGGGTCAAAAGTAAAGATTTTTCTATCATCAGGCCTATAAAGAAGAATCTAGTTGACATTATATATGGAGGTCTCTATTTTTATCTAATTATGAGTAATTTGCAATCTTTTTAGAATCAGATTTTATTGGTACGTTTTAGATATACACAATCACTGCATTCATCATGGAGAATTTGTACAAAACTTGATCATTTTTTTGCATTCCTCTCCATTCCCTTTGACTCCTCCTTCCTCCCCGTTTGCAAAAGCTGTGTTTCATTTTTCTTTTTTTCTTTCTTTTTCTCTTTTTCTTTCTTTCCGTTCCTTTCCTTTTCTTCTTTCTTTTCTCCCTCCCACTTTGCACTGTCCCCCTCACATTTGAACATTTTATTCCAGTTTCACAATACCTATCATACATTTTTTCTGTACCAGGAATCAAACACATGACCTTGCACTTGCCCGGCAGGAACTTAAGCCACTGAGCTAAATCCTCAGCCCCTTTTATACATTTTGGTCCTTGTTTACACTTGAATTTTCACACCAGAGAAACAATGTGATATTTACACATGGGTGACTGATTTATTTCACTTAAGAATATGGTCTCAGAGCCTGGGATTTAGCTCAGCACTAAAGCACCTGCTTGCTAGGTGCAAGGTCCTGAGTTTAATTCCCAGTATCAAAACAAGCAAGCAAGCAAACAAACAAACAAAAAACAAAAAAGAGTATGGTCTCTAAGTGCCTCCATTTATCTAGGGATGTCTTAAGCCTATCCTTCTTTATGGCAGAGTAGTACTCCATTGTTGTTTTTTTTTTAAACATATCTTCTTTATTCATTCACTAGTTTATGGGCATTTGGGCTGTTTCCAAGATTTGGCTATTCAAATTGTTCCACTGTAAACATAGATGTGCATATACTACTGTGATATGATGCATTTAATTCTTTCAAGAAGATACCAGCAGGAGAATAGTTGGGTCAAATAGGATCTCTAATCCTCATTTTTTGAGGAATCTGTTTTCCACAGTGGTTTGACAGCTTACCCTCCCAGCAACAGTGGAGAAGTTTCTTTTTCTGCATTGCTCCTCCAGCATTTGTTGATTTCTTCATAATGGATATTTTTTCCAGGGTGAGATGAAACCTCAGCTTTGTTTTGATTTGTATTTCTTCAGTGACCAGTGATGTTGAACATTTTCTCATATATTTATTTTCTGTTTGTACTTTTTCATATAAGAAACATATATTCATTTCAGATGCCCATTTTTGGACTGAGTCTTTAAATTGGGGGGCTTCTGATTTTTTGAGTTCTTTATATGTTCTCGGTAGTAATCCTTTGTCTGAGGAACCGCTGGCAAACATTTTTTCCTACCCTATGGCTTGTCTCTTAACTAATACTGATCAAAAAGGGAAACAAGCCATGGTAGCAGGGGCAAATGGAAAAGAAATAGAGGAATTTTAGGAAAATAGATGGATCCAGATGGGCCAGATCCACCCACCTCTGGGTGACTGATGCTTATCTGGACTTATTGGAGTAGGTGGTGCTAATTATAGTATGATTCACGTTACTATTGATCCCTTAGGGGAGAAATGTACGTCTGGTCTTCAGATACACCTCCAGCCACAATTATGATGTCTTTGTTTTGTGCCAACTTGTTTGAGAGCCCAGTCCCTTTCTGACAGAATATCAATTTCTATCTAATTTTTCTGGCTATAATACAAAGAGTAACAAGGTATTTTTTATAAGAAATGTAATCTAATATTTAAATCAATATCGATTTAGTTAGATAAGTAATGCTTTAAGACTAATGTAAGAAACATGTGAGATTCCCAGTTACAAGAAAAATGGTGTAAGTGTGCTAGGTCCTGACTCTTCCACTGAACATAGCTCTAAAATTTAGGAAACTATGGGGAGTTATTTAGGACCCTGAAAAGCAGACTGGAGGAGATGAGCTGGGAAAGACATTGAGAATTCAGGGCACTGAGTTCCCTCAGTACAGACCAGTCAAACAAAAATTAGACACAAGGGTGCAGAAATCTAAAAAAGACCTCTAGTTTCTGGCTTGAAGAGGGGAAGTACACAATACTCAGTGTGTGCTTCTCTCCGTTTTTATTTATTTTCCCAGCCTCTCCAAGCAGTTTCATTATTACTTCTGTCAACAGGCTAAATATGAGAGTTTCCCAAACTTATCCCAATCTGCTATAGTAGGCTCACTGACTCCCATCACAGAAGAACTTTCAGGATATACCAGAAAGAGTCAGGAACAGAGTTTACTAGGCAAAGACAGAGAGTACAATACACACTCAAGAGGAGAGTGCAGGTACTCAGTGCAATGAGACGCAATTCAGTTTGGAAACGAAGGAGCAAGGGATATAGTTTAGAGACATAAACTTCTGCCTGGAAAAGAAAATGTTTATGCTTTCCTTTGGGAGTGAACATCTCAGGAAACATTCTTCCTCTCCTCCCTCAAAAGGATACCAGTCATTTTTTAAAAATAGGTAATTTAAGCATTTTCCCAGTTTTAATTGATTCCATTTATGGCCTTGGGTAACTTCATCAGTGTTCTAGAAGTTGAAGTATTCCTGAAAAGTACAATTTTTAGTTCTGATTTCCTTGTCTCCTTTTCTACTTGTCTTTTATTTCTCCTATCCTGCCTCATCGTCCCAACCCTCAGACTTCAAACTGTGTTTTGCTTGTTTTGTTTTGATACCAGGGACCAATCCCTTATTCTTAAGAGGGTGTAGAAGGCCTGACAGTCCAACTTCATAAGTTTTTTATAGGAAGTAGCAGGGCCTGGGGATTTAGCTCAGTGGCATAAGCACCTGCCTTGCAAGCAGGTGGTCCTGAGTTCGATCCCCAGTACCGACAAAAAGGAAAAAGACAAAAAAAAAAAAAAAAAAAAGATATAGTGAGTAGCAGCATTGACCCTGCCTAGCTAAGGATTGAAAGTCTCATCCTGACTGATCTAATGGAGATACTGTGGTACTTTGATTTATGAACACTTTTGTTTACAAGCAATTTGGTTCATAAACAAGAGCATTTGGAAAAATTGCGGGATTGTTTATTTATGGAGTTTGTTTTCTTTTTCTTTTTTCACAAACTCTACACTGGATGATAAAACGGTGGCATCTTTCCCACACAAACACAAATTTTTCCAAAATTGTGAAACAAATTAAGTTTTTGAGCAAAATACTACTGCAAAATACTATAAAAACATTAGGTTTTGCTCTTTGTAAAATCATCACTCTCTTTTTTTAACTGAAAGAAAAAAAATGAAACAGAAAAAAGGGTAGAAATAATACAGAATTTCAAAAAAACAAATTATATCTATCACTACTTGACAAATTACATATTGTCATCTTAGAAATAGTTGTTCAATTTACAAAATTAATGCATACAAAGTGGATGTTCAAATAGTGAAACTGCGGATCCGGGAGAACATGGTGGATAGATAGCAGCAGCTTCAGAGGCTCTTTGAGAAACTGCACTTGAAATCCAGGAATGGTGCCAGGCAGGAAATCCTAGGCAAGGGGGGATATTCTTTGCCAACTCAGGAACGAATTAAATTAAGAGAAACCAACTAGAAACACAATCCTGGTGATACAGCAGAAACAGATAAGATCTGTGCAGAAGCTGGACCCCGCCACTGGAAGCTGCAATTTAAATTTCCTGCAGCCGCTGCTATGTCCTGGTTGGCAAGCTGGGGAGAGAGGCGTGAAAGCTCTGAGAGTGGGAAGTGTTGAATGGATTTGGGAGTGGGACTGGCCGGTGCCCTGCATCAACCTGCGGTGAGTGAGCAGATTGGGACCCTTCCATAGAGAAGGAGGCTTCAGCAGAGGACATACTCAGACCAGGCAGACTACCCAGAACAAGATGCTGCAGTGACTTCAGTCATATATCCCCCTCTCAAGCGGGATTGGTGGGGAGTGTCTGGCTTGTGTACACCGCTGGCTGAGACCCCGTAGGCTAGCCCAACCCTAGTCCCAGCAGCCTGGAGGTGCACACTAGCAGTGAAGCCTTCGGTAGGTTGACCTGGAGGGGCGGGCCGGCATAGGCTGCCTGCTCCATATCTCCCTGGTAAACTGCGGTGGGTGGGAACACCTACGCAGCACAATTCAAACAGACTGTGGCTGACAGGGAAGGAAGCTAGGCCTCCTATATATGCTTGTATATAAGGAACAAAGAATATGGGAAGAGGGAGCAATAAGAAAGGGTCCTCGGCCCCCGATCCTCAGAAACACACAATAGCAGACATGGCACCAATAGACATAAAGTGCTATCTCTAGAGCCTCATAGACGAGTTCAGGAATGAAGTTATTAATGACTTGAAGCAAGACATAAGCAAAATAGAGAAATGCTAAGCACCACCCAAGAAAAAACAGATGGTGCAATGGAAGAACAGGAAAAAAAAGAGGAGAATTGTTTGATGGAGAAAATAGAGAAAAAATAGAATACATGAAGCAGGTTCAAAGAGATTACCAGGAAACTAGAAACTCTATCAAAAACTGGCATAACAGCTTGAAAGAAACTAAGGATAGATTATCTGAACTGGAGGGCAGACTTGTAATAGGGAACATAAAATGAAAAACTTCTTAAAAATAACAAAAAAAAAAAAAAACCAAACAGCACAAATACAACGGATAGAAGATGATAAGAGGATCTATAACTTAAGAATTAAGAACATAAAAGAAGAAGTAGGGACACAAACAAATGGACTACAAAAGCTATTCACAGAAATAATTCAAGAGAATTTCCCTAATTTAACAAATGGTAAAGACACTCAGATATATGAGGCATAAAGGACCCCAGCCACCTACAAACCAAACAGAGCTACACCCAGCCATATAATAATCAAAATTTCAGAAATCCAATAGAAGAATAGAATATTAAAAGCCATCAGAGACGAGAAACAGATCACTTACAAGGGAACACCCATCAGAATCACAGCAGACTTCTCGGCATAAACCATCAAATCACAAAGAGCATGGGGGGAAATAACTCAAGCTTTGAAAGATAATAACCTGCAGTCAAGATTGATATATCCTGCACAACTGTCTCTAGAAATTGATGGAAAAACAAGGTCCAGTTATATCCTTTAGAGCACTTTCTTTTCCTCTCTGGTTTATAATAACAATTACACATTTTGGGTTTTATTACTCCTTCAATTCTTATTACTTTTTATTGAAGAGAATAAAACCAAATGTGACAAAACAAAATAGAACCAGTCAAAACAAAAGGATGGACATAGTACATGATGTAAAAACAAAATACAATGTGGTCAACAATGGTTACTATAATGCCTTTTTCTATCTTCAAAAAATTGCCCATATCATCAGGTATCATGAAAATGAACAAAACAGTAAAGAAAAAAAAACAATAAAGATGAAACACTGGAGACCTTACAGGACTTAAAAAGACGTTAATAGTTAAAGCAGAATGGGTATCATAGTGAATCTTATTGTCTTCAAAGTAGTTGCCTTATACCTCAGACTGGATACTAGCAAACAAAACAGAACAGAGTAAAATAAGTCAAAACAGACAGTGAAAGCGATACAGGGCTTCAAAATCAAGTTAATAGGAAATAAAAAATGATTACCATAATATATCCTGCTATCTTTGGAACAGCTGTCCATACCATCAAATCTAATGCAAGAAGACAAACTGGAACAGAACAAAACCAAATTAAACAAAATGATGAAAACAATATGGGTTTCAAATCACGATAAAAGATAAACAATGGCCACTGCCTTCTCTTTTTAGACAACTGCTCCCCTTTCACTTTTTTTTATTTTATTTTTTAATTTTTTAAAAAATAATTTTATTTAAAGAAAGACTAAACAAAACAGAAAATGGGTAGAAATAATACATCCTTTCAAAGAAAAAATAAACAGTAATAAATCACTAGTTAGTGGTTACTTTTTGTCCTCTTACAAATAGTTGTTCAAAATACAAAGTGGAACACATAAGTGGGAATTCAAATAGGGAGACTGCCAATAGTTCTGTTCAACTATCTAATAAAACCTTAGCAACACATGGTTATCAATCCTATACATTTAAACATACATGCAGTTATCTATATCTTCATTCATGTTGAGATTAAACAAATCATCACTCTTTGATAGTCTGAAAGAGAGGGCAAGGACGTAAAAGACATTAGCCAACAATAATAAATCAAACAACTGAAAAGAGTGATAATATGCATTATCATAGCCAGAGATACAAAAACATTTTTCACAAGAACAAGGACACTAGCCAGTCATCGATGTTTCAACAGAGTCTGACATTGCACTGACCTGTGAATGCAGATCTTATAATGCAGAAGATACCTATGAGGAGCTGTCAGGATCTACAAATGACATTCTGTTTTGATAATGGTACAGTTTCCACCTCTTGCTGCTGTTAGAATATGTAGGGTTATTTGGCTTTGCAAAATGGCTTTTCTCATCATTTTCTCTTCTGAATTTAGTAATGAAACATCTTCTGTGGTGTTATTGGGAATCTTTTGGGTATATTTTGTAAGAGATTCAGTATGTTTCATTACAATCTTAAATTCTATTTGTGGTATAAAGCCAAAGCCAAATGATTATCTCTATGATCATATAGGCCAAATACTGATGTGTCCCATCAGTGTCATAAATGTTAGGAGGTTGGATGCTTGGTCTATGGTTTTAACGTAGTACCTTTGTACACATGGGTCCCTAATGTGTATCTTCCTACTCATCCTGGAGGCAATCAAGACCATAAGTTTATGCTACAGCACTAGGTATCATTTGGGGATGGCCATCTTATTCCAGCCTTTGCCTTCCTACCAGTAGCAAACAAGTCAGTATCTCTTAACATGGTAAGAGTCTGCAGGAAGACTATACAGACTCTGAAGAGACTGCAGGAGGTTTCAACTCCGAATAGGAATGTATCTCTTATTTCAAGTGATATTATTTCATTTATCATAAAGCATGGGGTTTTTTCCCAACGAAGAGGTGTGAGTTGGCTGAACTGTTTCATAATAAATGCCAAGCCAAATACATTCATACCAGATCTGCAAATATTTATCCATGAATTGCTGATTAACTTTTATCTTGGAGTGTGGGGTAAATCCAAAAGTCTATATTTTTTATATCTGCATATGAATTGTGGCTAGAAAAAATTTCTACCCATGGCCTTATTTGTTGGAGACCACTAAGAAGCGGCTCTAAGCAGGATTTAAAATTAACTGATTGACTTTCTATGTTTATCTGTGAGTCTGTCCTAGGCCTCAGCTCCTTGCCTGGCGATAGGAGCTGATTCACAGTAAGTGAAGCTCTACGAATCACTGGTCCTGGATGAGGCCAGTAGTAGCCAGTGAGGCTAGAGATACCTCAAAGGGTAAGAGAAGGCCATAGCTGAGGAGACCTTGGCTCCAACATTAATTAAGCGAATAGAGACTGTAACTGAAGAAATTTCACTCCTGCAGTCTCAATCCTATCATAAATGTCATTCTGTAGATAAAATGGTGGTTCTCCTAAATTGGCATAATTTAATACTTGGAGAAGTCTTTGAAGATATTCCCAAGGTCCTGCTCATTGCCTGCACCTTCCTCAGTTTCCCGCCCTTTGTTGTTGGACCTATTAAAAATTGGTGGTCCAGAGAAGTCTTCGTCTTAGCCCTCGGAGTCTTGAGCTCAACTAAAGCGTTTTGACCCTCCTGCATCCCTAAAATCACACCACTTGTCTCATTTTAATTAAGCCTTCGCTGTACACTTGTTTGGGAGATTGGGGATCTAGATCAGGACCCTATACCCATTTATTGTCCATTGAGATACATTAACCCTTAGCAAGTTTGAAAGTGTCAATGGTACTTTGTAGTTGTTTTATAAAATTTTGAAACTTTATCAAGCCATCTCCCTGTAAGACAGAGACACCTACCATGGTGGCCCAGATGCACTTGAAGTGAGTCATTGTCAACAAACACATCCTACACCTTTATCAATATTTTTAGTATATTGATGGACTCAGTCAAGGAAAATATTAGTTTCCTCATCAGAAAATGGCATAAGGGTTAAGAGAAAAATGAATTATCTAACTACTTTTAGCAGATACTGTACAGTGTAGTTGTAATAGAACATATTTTACCAAAATATACTTATTTAACTTATCTTGAATCAGCCTTCCTATTCTTCCTGGATAACATCCACAAGTCCTCCAAAGTCTCCCAGAAGCTTTGATCATAGATCTCCGTCTCCTTTACTGCCTGTAAAGTATCAAAAGCGACAGGTTTAATGTATGTTATGGCAGCTCAACAGCTCTGGAAGTGCTTGAAAGAGCATGGTAAGAACCAGGGATATAGCTCAGCAACATAATCACCTACGTGGCAATTGCAAGGTCCTGAGTTAGATTCCTATTACAAAAAAAGAAAAAGAAAGAAAAAGCATAGTAAGCACCCTTTCATTTACATTTAGGGATACAAAGGTTACTCTCTCCAAACTTTAAGTAACACTTAATCACTGGGTTGAATTTTAGGACCAAGTTGCAGAATCTAGCATTGGAAAGATTTTATTTTCATATGCTATAAAGACTTCTGTACTTGATATAGATTGATGATGTATTTAATTATTTCTTGTGTTTTAGAATGTGACTAGATGTAAAGTGAGAAATGACCTCCCCTAGGGCATTTCATAAGGGCTTCCAGTAAATATTTTAGCAAAATACACTTTATTTAACTTATCTTGAATCAGGCTTAATTCTACTCATCAGTAAGCAATAGGTAACAGTCTAACCCAGACTGAAGTTTTCTTAGCATAGTTTTGGCAAGGTGATGTTAACATGTAAATGGGCCCTTTCAACCTTTGCTAATGCCTGAGGATGCCAAGAGGAATAAAGATAATAAGCTATTGCCAAGGCTTGTGAAACTTCCTGTGTCATTCTAGAGACAGAAGGAGCTTCATTATCACTCTGACTTGACTTGGGAGGTCCAAGCCTAGAAATAATGTCCTTCAATAAAGCTTTAGCAACTTTTTGGGTCTTTGCAGTCTAAGTGGGATATTTTTCTATCTACCCAGAGAAGGTGTCAGTTAAGACTAAGAGATATTTTTATCGCTGGCATGACTACATCTGGGTGCAGTCTAGCCGTCAGTCTTCTTCAGGGAAGGTACCTCACCTTTGCACTGGATTAAGCACAGGTGTATTGTTGCGGAGGCAGAAGGGGCAAGCCCTTGTGACTTCTCAATTAAGTTGACCAAGGTGGTCTGTGCTTCTCTCTCTAGGTGGTATGGATCATAGATCCCTTTAATAATTTTCTATTGATCAGCCTAAAGCAATAAATTTTGTGATCTTCCTCTTTAACCTACCAGCTATTCTTCTCTGGTTTATATCCTTGCTATGTTGCCCATTCCTTTTCAAAGAACTTGTACTTAAGGCCATCTGTGAGTGGGCTTTATTTTAGTGCTGTTCATTTGGCACTACAACCTATGAAGGTATTTCCTTGGATTACAGGAGAATTGCCCCTTTGATAATCTTTGCAGTATAATACTGTTATCTGGATCAGTACCCACACTGCTTCTAGGAGGAAAAGAATAACATCAGGCCCATGGGGAAAAATTGGGGAATTTTTCTTCTGCCAAGAGTTCCTTTTTTGGGCCAGGGATTTAGTTTTTTTCCCATATGGCTGCATGGGCATGAAGGACTAAGAAAAGCACATTCGGAGTCAAGGTAGGTGTTGACTTGTTCAGAAAGGTACTTGTTCTTTCCCAGTTAAAAAGCTTGAATACACTGCTTTTAGTTTTTTTTTTTATTTGAGGTGTTTGTAGGAAACTGCTTTCCTCTATTTTGGAGTCTAACAACTGTTTAATCTGCTTCCAAGTTCTATCATAATTCGTGGGCTGTTCTATCAGTGAACTGATCTATAATGGCATTGTCTAAGGGCTGTTATTGAAGACTGAGTCTGTGAGATCTAACCTTTTTTATAGCCTTCATGTAGGACTGAAACAAGATGTCTTTTGAGGTAGGAAGCAAGGCTGCTGGACTTGAAGGCTGGCACACCTTAGGCATCATTTCTGGAAATTCTAACAGGAGAGCTTGAAATGCAGATAGCCATCCTCCAGCAAGCCTCTGGTATCATTTAATTTCAAGAACACTTTTAACTTGATGGGGAGTTTGGATCTATAGTGGGTACTCTACACCCACTATATTTGTGACTTCGTTAACCAGGAGTGTGATGACTGTCATAACTCAGAAGCATCCAGCTATCCACATGACACAGAAGTTAATTGTTCAGGAAAGTTAGACCTTGGCAAAGGAATTCTCCCAGCCTTTCAGCTATAAATAGGGCAAATGACTTGTCTCAATCCAGAATGCCTAAAGCTGAAGTGAACAGTAAATAGGCTTTTTTTGTGGCATCTATTTTAGGAGCTTATGGTCAGGCCCTTGTATGACCTCAGAGAGGCTTAACTACGAGTCCAAAACTGTGGATCCATATCCTTCAGAATCCTAGGAAAAATTCCAGGGAAGGCCCTGAGCTATCTTTTAGTTTGATGTGGGCCTAGTCTTAAGAGAACCTCCTTTCAGGGAAAAGAACTTGTTTGCCTGGGTTTAAAATGTGTCCTAAATATTTAACTCTTTGATTATATAGCAGAGCCTTTTGTGGGGATTATGCAGTATCCTGCAGCTTCAAACAGTTTTTAAACTTTAGCACTATTTTCATCAGAGTCCAGCTCTGTGAACCTACAAATAAGACCTACAAAATCATCAACATACTGGAAATATCCCAATTTTAAAGTTAGAGAATTTAATTCTTTACAGCATTTCCAAGTAAGTGGGGACTGTCTCTGAATCTTTGTACTGTCTAACTATACAGGGCAAATTTTATAGTACAAGGATAAGCCCATTCCAAAGAGAATAGATATTGAGAGTCAGCATGTAATGGGATGCAAAAAAAGGGCAGCTTTTAGATCTAAGACATAATCCATGTAGTTCTAGTTAATAATTGAATTAATATAGCATATAGGTTAGGAGCTAAAGGATGGAGTGAAATTACAGCTTCATTAAGAGCCCACAAATCTTGAACTAGCAGATATTCTCCATTTGATTTTAGTACTGAAAGAGTGGGAGAGTTGCATGGGGACTGGCAACGGATCAAAGATCATGCCCGATGAATTTAGAAATTAAAGACTACACCCCACTATGGGCCTCTGGCTTAACAAAATGAAGTCATTTATGGGGATAACTGAGTTTTTTAAGGAAATAACAACAAGCTGAGTACGAACTGTCTTTCCAGAGGTTTGGGTATCCAGACTTGTGAATCTACTTCTGATAACATTTTCCTAGGTGTATTTCAAAATACATTGTCTAATGGACTTGATACTAATGCTCGCCAAAAAAGGAGATGAATGTTTTGGTGCCAGATAGAGTTGCCCCTAAAGAGAAAAAAAATTTCTTCCTAATAATTGTGTAGGACATTCTGGAAAAACTAAGAAAGCTCAAATGAAAATGATTTTCTCAATTCTTCAAGTTTGAGGCACTGTAAAGCACTTGGCCCTAGGGATACCACTGCAATACAGGTTCCATTAGAAAGGGGTACAGGGGATTCAAGCAAGACAAATTTAAAAGTCCCACTATCCAGAAGAAAATGAATACTTTGCTATGTTAAGAGTTATCAGAGATTCCTGTACAGTGATGCCCATTTTGTTGAGAGAGGTTTTAAGGGGCTTGGACACCTTTGGTCATTCAGGGTAGCCAAAATGGAGGCAGGTGGGCTCTCCTTAGAAGAGACAGTAGTCTCTCTTCCTGGGTGTTTCTCAAATTACAGTAGAGGCACAAGCCAGGTGAAGGAAGTCTCATTTATTGCAGTATTTTTGCAAGTGTCAGGCTCTCCACAGTGGTAAAAGCCATTGGACATCTTTTCCCTCTTTGTAAATCAAGTCTTTGTGAGGTGGCAAGGTTTTGTTCTGTAATGCTAAAGCAATAAACTGGGCCTGTTCTTATGCCTATGCTCATCTGCCCTGGGCTTTGGCATTTGTTTCCACCTTGTCCCTGTTGATAAAAACCTCAAGGCCAAGTTTAAAAGTTCATTCATAGGGGTCTGATGACCCATGATCTGTTTTTGAAGCATTTTATGAATACCTGAGGCAGATCAGCTAATAAAATATGTTCCAAATAAACCTGTCCTGCTGTGAGTTGGGCTCAATATTAGTATATTTTCAGAGGATTTTAGTTAAGTGCCCCAGAAATAAAGCAGGATTTTCTTCACTATTTTCGGTGATTTCCCTAATATTTTCATAATTCACTGGTTTACTCATGCAGTTTTCTCATTGTATCAATCAAATGAGTAATCATTTCATCACATTTCTTGGAACCCTCATTTCCAACCTAATAATGTCAACTGTGGTCCCCTACATTTATTGCAACTATTCTTGCATCTTGTCATTTTTTGGGGGGCATGTCATTTTTAGCCCATGTTGCTGTTCTTTCTTACATAGAATTTTTCTTCAGGAGTGTATCAAATAGAAATCAATACATGAAGGTCTGTCCAAGTTAGATCATAAGTTGTAGTCAAAGCCTGGAACTTGGCTATGAATTGGTCTTTGTCCTTTGAGAACTGTTCCAATTTTTTAGTCTGAGACAGATATCTCATGGAGAAGAGGACACGTATTCATACCCTATCCCCCTGCCCCAAGACTTCTCAAAGTGAGCACATTAACTTTTGAATTATTAGGATGATAAGAAGTGTCACTTCATATCACACTAGCAGGAACAGATTCGGCTGGTAATGGGGTATATAGATTGAGAAGGAGGTGGATTGGGGTAATGACCCTAGGAGACAATGGGTTAGAGGGAGTAGCTGAGCTAGGTTCTGAGCTCTCCTCGGAATCTGCTCGGGGTCTGGTTCCTTGTTAACAGGTCCTATTGGCACATAGGCATGACAGATTATTGGAGGCCTACGTAATTTTTGGTCTTGATATAGGGACACAAAAAACTAGACATGTGAGACTTCTGTCCATTTTCCCTCCCCCTTACAGAATAAATCAAGCTAAAATATCACGTTGAAATTTAGGAACCCATTCAGAAGCAAGTCTCCCCACTTTCTAACTTATATTGACCTCACACTGAGTTAAAAAGGAAAAACATCTTTTTAAAAAAAATCCTCTGTTTTAAAACAATCCCAATTTTTCAAAAGACAACCTAAAGGTGATATTTCAGGGACAGATGTTAAATTACTCATACTCCAGCAAGGTGGATTGTATAATATCAAGAATTTCTTTGAAAGGCAGAAGATAACTCTGCTGGCAAGCACAAGATCATGAGTTTAATTCCTGGTTTAAAAAAAAAAAAAGGAAAGAAAAAAAAAAGATAGGAGCCCAATTAGGTCCCTAAGGTCTGGTCATGTGAGACACGTGCCTCAAACCAGGTTCCAAGGTCATGCTGTGCAGCAGTAGCATACACTGGTTTAGGCCCTGTGTGCCTCCTTAGTTTAAGTTCATAGACTTTACAGGGTCTCATGGACAGCATCAGCTATCACCTGAATGACCACTTGAATGTGCACATCTTAATACATATTCCTAGCCACCCAAAAAAGGGAGCTGTGGCATTCAGCTAAGTTTATGACCTTTGGGAGTCTTGGATATGTTCAGTTTTGTTTTTGTTTGTCTCAGAGTCTCATTATGTAATGCAGGCTCACCTTGAACTTGCTTATATAACCCAGACTGACCTCCAACTCATGGCAATCCTCCTCTTTAAACCTCCGAAGGGCTGGGATTACAATTGTGCAACACCACACTCTCCCCAATATTTTCTATATTAGATGAAAATCTTGATTCTACATATCTGAGATGTACAATAAGTATAAACCCAAGAAGATCCACAGATACAAGTAAGGTAGCAAAACCCAGACACAAAGAAAATCTAAAACATAGTAAAGAGATTACATAAAAGAGATTTTCTGTAAGATTAATGTTTTTTTTCAGGAGTCATAGATACCTGAAACAGGAGAGGCATATATCAGCATGCTAGGAGGAAAATATAGTGCAATAAGAATCCTCTATTCACAGACTAGTTCAGTACTAAAGTGCTTGCATAACATGCTCAATGCCTTGGATTAGATTTCCAGTACCACAGAAAGAAAAGATATCCTGAGTTCACTTTCTAGTAAACACCTTATTTTACTTAATTATGGCCTCAAAGAGCAGTGATGCTAGAATTCATATATGCAAAAGAGCTTCCTTTAAATAAAAAAGACAAAATTATTCTTTACATGCATAAGAATAAATCTAATAAATATAGGATTTGGTTGTATCCACAGGGTCAGACAGAGGAGAACTGAGAGTGTAATACCTGGTGATGAATGAAAGTACTGTATTCTGAGATGGTGCTTCAGTGAAGTGGTTTTTGAAGATGCCATGAGGGTCAAGTACTCACTATATGCCTAGTGTCCTTGTAAAAAAAGACATCGAAGTGCCCCTAACCCCATCTCTCTAATGCAGATTTTCCAAATTTGAATCAAAAATCTTCCTGCATAGTTTATGAAAATTTAAAATGTCTGTTCTTTGCCAACAAAAACATCTTACATATAAAAATTGTGTTCCCTTTGTTTTAAAATTCTTCTCTTTGTAGAAAAGTAAGTACAAACTACCAATGGATTATGTTGTCTATGCACTTTTGGTGAAGTTCAGAAAACAACTAAGCTTAAAATTTTCAGGATGAACTGGGTTAAAAAACAAAAAGATTGAGAAATAGATTGTTCATCTCTATTCCCTCCCCTGACTCCTCCCTCAGCTGCCCTTTCTTAGATAAAACAGACCCTGGGTATCCTTATAGGTACACTCTTCAGTAGTGTTGATTTAAGGCGTGCACTTTCTGGAATACTGAAATCTTGGATTACCTCTCAGAAATGAATCTCACTGCTACCAGTCACCGCATACCTTTAAATGATGGAAACAGTATTCCTATCATTGGGCTAGGTACCTACTCTGATCCTCACACGGTAAGCTCTCTCTCTTTCCTCTGTGTGGTTTTCCTAAAGCATAAACTTTCATTTTGAGTGTATCTCATCAATTACTATTCAGTAATATTTAAAGCAGCTTTCAAGGACCACTGTTTGCTTGATTGAGTAGCCAGTCAAAGGTTAAACTATAATGAGTTTGTGGTTAAAAATTAACATAGATTAAAGAATGTGATTTGTGTTTTCTTTACTGAACTTGAGCTGAAATCTGATTCCTACTATGAACTGAGGCGCATGAAATTGGTCAGTTTATGGCTTCTGGAGTACTCTAAAAATTTACATTTAAGAATTTTTAGTTTATTCTAACAAACATTAAGTGAATACTTGCCATACACTAGGCACTAATTTGTAGAGTACTTCTTTATTAAGAGCACATGTCTCTTTTTAACTAACTATTAAAAACTCTATAAGCATGCAGACTCTTTAACATCTATACAACAATAAAAATTAGGCCTTTATAATCCTAGAACTTAAATTGGTATCTCTCTGACCCACACACAAATACACACACATTCACACACACACGTGCAAAGAGAAGAACTAAATTTGATCACCACACACACACACACACAAAGAAAAGAGCTAAATTTGATCATGAATTTTGAAAACGGGTTTCCTTAAGAACATGGTAAATTTTCCACTTAGAACAACAATTCTTTTGTTCATTGCACTTTATCACTCAAGGCTGATATCAGGATAAATGATGGTATGATTATTAGTCAGCTTTCTACAGCCATAACAAAATACCTGACACAATTGGAAGGAGGAGAGATTCATTTTGACTTCTGGTTTCCAAGTGTTTCAGTCCATATTCACTTGATTCTGCCCTTTTGGACCCATGATAAGGCAGGACATTGTGACAAGGAGCATGTGGTGGAGGAAAACCACTCACCTCACTGGGGCTGGAGGGCAGAGAGGGCAAAGAAAAGGGTCCAGAGCTCAATGTCCCCTCCAAGAGCAGCCCCCAACTGCATGACCCCACTCTTAAAAGTTCAACCACTTCCCAGTAGTTCCATAGGCTAGTGACTAAGACTTAGTCTGGCCTTTAAGAGACATTTAAATATCCAAACCATAACAAATGTGTAGAAATGCTACTCAAATCTGAGTAATCTTTGACTGATTAGACTCTATTCCATTCTGTTTGATAATATCAAGTTTGAGGGTGTAGGCAGCTACTTTGAAGTCAATCAGATTCACTATGATGCCCATTATGGTTTGACTATTATCTTCTTTTGAAGTCCTGTAATGTTTCCAATGTTTAGCTTTTATTGGTCTTGTTTTGTACTGTTTTGTTCAGTTTTATTAGACCTAATGATATAGGCAATTCTTTTTAAGGAAGCAAGAGGCATTATAGTAACCGTTGTTGATAACCTTGTATTCTGTTTTTACATCATGTGCTATGTCTATCTTTTGTTTTGACTGAATGCTTTGTTTTGTCATATTTAGTTCTATTCTCTTCCAAAAAGAAAAGTAATAAGAACTATGGGAGTAATAAAACCCAAAATGTGTAAATTTTGTAAAAAAGAGAGGGAAAAAAAGTGCTCTAAATGATACAGCTGCAAGTGTGTTTAGATGACCGTATTACTGAGTTTTTGTTGGATCATTGAACACAACTGTATGTAGTTTCACTGTTTGAATGTCCACTTTGTATGCTTTAATCCTGTAACTTGAACAACTATTTCTAAGATGACAATTCGTAGTCTATTAATCTAGTGATTTCTTACCTTTTTTTGTAATTCTGTATTCCTTTATCCTTATACTGTTTTGTTTTTTTTTTCTTTAAATAAAAAAAAAAACTCAAAAAAAAAAAAAAAAGAAATCTGAGTAATCATTCATGAAGGAACTCTACAAAGCCAGGTATAAATTAGCCAGCAGAGAAGCTGAGCCAAGACAGGACATTTCAGGAGGAGGGAAAAGTTGAGAGACACAGAATTTATGCTATGTCTGGTGAAGGCTAAAGCTGTGGTGGCTCAATATGGAGTTAATGGAGAAGGTGATAGAAATTGAATCCGAAAATACAAGTTAAGACTGAATTACTGTAGACCTTAAATGTCCAAGGAACAAAATGGAACTTCACTGCACAGGACTGAGAAACCATCTAAATCTTAGGGGAAGAAAAATAATATCAGTGGGTCTGTGTTTTTGAAAGATAATTCTTCCGGCAGCATACAGAATGAAAGGCAAAGGAATAGACCAGGACCAAGAAAGTTAATATTTGGTTCTTGAAGGTGAAGGTGGCTGGCAGACTTGTAGGGTCAGGGCTGACTGCTTCTACCCACCTGTGCTGGTTATCAGCGTGGAGTGCTGTTTTATTCTGTTTTGTTAGGTTTGGTTTTATTATAGTTGAAGGCATGGGCAGCTATTTAGAAGATAACAAGATATATTATGGTATCCATTGTTGATTTCTTATTATCTTGTTTTGCAGTCCTGTACCATTTTCACTGTTTTGTCTTGATTGGCTTTATTCTGTTTCATTTTGTTTGGTTTAATTCTCTTTAAAATTAAAAAAGAAAAATTAAAAAAAAGAAAACTAACATTTGCATCTCAATTCCATATCTCTTCTTTTTTTGTAATGGGAAGAAAAATCATTCTTGGAATAATCCTATGCGTCTATATCACTGACAACATCCTTATCTTCCTTTGCCTATTTTATCTGTTGACCTCATTCATAATCTTGGTTCCAACCACATATATGTAAATTTATATTTATGTTTCTGTTTTCTATCTCTTTTTTAAGTAAGAAAGTAACACTGGTTAATATATTGCATATTGTGATCTTAGAAGTTGTTCAGATTATAAGAGCTAGGCGTGAAAAAATGATCAATCAAAAAATGAAAGCACAAACTATTCTTTTTAATGAACTTACAGAGATTAGTAGCATAGTTATCTATCTTGTATACATATAAATACACACACACATATACATCTATATGCAGGTAATCTTTTCCCTTTTTTTCTCCTTTCCCCATCCCAGTTCTTTCCTTTTGAGCACTTTATTTGTTATCTCTTCCTTATGCAACTATAAACTGACTATATTAGATCACCTGGAACATTTTTGAAAGTACATATTGTTAGGTCTCATGTCAACCCACCGAATCTAATTTCTTAGGTTGAACCTGAGAACACGCAGGTAACAAGCTCCTCGGGTGATTCTGATGTACATACAGGTATGTACTCCACCTTTCAGAACACCTCTAATATTATGAGACAGAATTATACTGGCTTTCTTCTGTTCCCCAGGGAACCAGCTCTACTAACAGGTAGCACTTCAACCCCCAGCCACTCAAGCCCAAAGTTGGAATATATGGTTTAAGTCTTACCTCTTCCTCACATTACATCCAAATGACTCCTGAATCCTTGATAATTTTATCTCCAAACACCTCTCCAGTGCATACACTTTTCTATCTATATCTTTTGTCATTACCTTAATTTAGGGTCTTGTTTATCTTTGGTCTGTTCTTACAGTTTTATTGCTCTCCAGTTAATTATACAGACTGGGATTATTGGAATTCTTCAGAAACCAAAATCTGATCATATCAGACCTCTGGTTGGTAGTTCAGGAGCTCCTGCTCCATAACAGAGCAAATTTTACACTCCCTTCCCTGCACACAGACCTTTTATGGTTTCACTGGCTTGTCAGTGCAGTTGCATTGACTCTACCAGTCCCTACAGGGGGACTGAACCTAAATTTCTGAACAGCATTGCTGAACCTAAATTTCTGAACAGCATTTCCTTTTCCAAGGCTTTGAAAGTGCTGCCCTCTACTTGCCTTTCTTTAGATTTGCTCATTTGCTAATAAAGGACCCAGATCAAGGGATCTCTGTCTTAGAAACCTATCACCCAGTCACCACACCTACCCCTCAACATGTTCACATTGCCCCTGGTACTTGGCTTTATGATGCCATTTGTCCTTCACTGCATTCACAGCTTCTCCACAGTCTTCCTCATTGGACTTCAAAGTCCATTAGGGAAGTGACCACGTCTTTTTCCGCTCTATATCTGCAGGACAGTGTCTAGTATGTAAGGAGCATTCAGCTAATGTTCATGCAAGTAATACAACCATTTATGAGAGAGGATATAAATGTTTGTGTGCAACAGAGTACATACAGATGTAAAGGAATTACAAAATTATAGTCAAAATTTTTCTCAACATTTCACAATGTACCAGGAACTCTTTTATATATTTCCTATAATGTTCATTTTCTAATTTAATCCTTATAACACTACAAATTGGTACCAATGGGCTCCACTGACAGATAAGAAAAGTAAGGCACACAGTAATAAAATAATTTGCCACAAAGTTATAACACTAGGTACAGAGCTGAGCTTTGAATCCCAACTTCATCCTCTTAATCCCATAATATATGAATATATATTTTTATGAATATACCCTATATCAATAAGGCTGCATACTTGTAATTATGACTTTCTCTTAATATTTCTGCATAGTATCTAGGAATGTGGATGTATGTATGTGTGTGTATGTACATATGTGCGTATGTATGCATATATATATATGTTCTAAAATGTGATGGCACTCAAGGTGATGTGTCTACCAATAAGTACCTACCACATGCCTACTGATAACTAAGGCTAGAAACATTCAAAAGGAGTTGTGTGACTTCCTTCTGAGAAGTATAACTTACTTCAGAAGATAAAGCATGTCCCAATTAAGGAACAGCCATAAGAGGAATAATCTTAGAAATGAGGACCATGCATGCACCAAATACCTTTGTGATCAGAAATATTACCCACTGTAAAGTGATATGTAGAGTTAATGAATGTGTCTCACACAATCAGAAATGTGAAAAAAATGTATAACCTGTAGGTGGAAGATTTGAGATATGGGAAGGGAGAGGGCTGGCATTAAGGAAGAAAAAATAGGTGTGGAAAGAACAGAGCATGTCAAGTCAAGCAGACATTATATCTACTGGTTCCCAGCTACAAAACTGATCAGCTCCTTAACTCTCCAGCCTAGGAGGAGGAAACACTAGGACCATTTATGCCCAGTTCAATCACCTTGAAATAAAAGTATCAAATTAGATTAATTTCAGAATTGGAATAAGTGCTAGAGGTGGAATGTGAGGCCAAATTTAGTTTCCTGTACTTGTATGCCTGAGATTCAGTTCAAAATCTTTCATTTACAAGAACAGAGGGAAGACAAAGGCCACTTTATCCTTGTGGACAATCAAGTCTATCAGTGTTCACATTGGGTTCCCGCTCAGTTGTGATAAGGCCCGCTCAGAATGTAGCCAGGTGCCAGGGAAAATTTGTCTTCAGTGAGGTGTAGAAATTGGGGTTGGTATTTATTTATTTCTACTTTTAGCACAGTATAGCATGTATCCTGAGTTGATTCCAGTACCATGACGACTTCATATCCAAACTCCTTGTCACAGAAGCCGTGGCTTTTAGACATCAAATTCTAAGAACTGACTTCTACTTTTTTTTTTAAATGACATAATGAACGCTGCCCCTGTTGCTGCAAAAATGTTTTGGGGGAATGAGAAGTAACAAAAACATATGGTCGAAAAATGTGTGTTCAGATTTCAAAAACATTAGTCCACCAAATTTTAAATGAATTAAAGTGAAAAGAGTCAAAGTATACAGATACCCAGTGAGAGAGCTTCTATAATTACATAAACAATAACAAAGATTTGCACTTGATCAGTGGTAAGAAAGAAAGTAACTTGTCTGTTGTCCAGGAGGGAAATAACTTGGTTATAGAGTATAGAGTAGTGTAATAAACTCTGCAAAGTTCAGCAGAAAATACGATCCTTGATAAGGAGAGAGACTGTTAGTTTCAAAGGTCATAAATGATACTTTTGGTACAGATTATCATATTCTTTAGGACTAAAATTTTGACATTTATGAAAGTTACTCATCCTATACTTTCAAGATACTCATTTTTATAATTTTTATTTTAAAGACAATAAAACAAGCAAAACAAAACAGAATGAAAGTAATCAAAACAGTGTAAGCAACACAAGACTTCAAAGCAAGATAAAAGGAAATCAACAATAGTTACCATAATGATATGGGCAGAAAAATGATGGACTCCAAAAAATTAAAAAGTGCTTTATTAGCTGAGCTCAGTGGCAGCACTGTCGCAGAAAAGCAGCCATGGAAGTGTGCGTGCAGCCAGGGGCTGCAGGGAGTTATAAAATAGCAAGCTGCAAGGGGGACCTCAGAGTCTTAGGATCAGTTTGTCCCCATAAAAGGAACCAGGGAGGCAGAACAAGCAGTTACAAGAACCAGGGTGGAAGGGAGGGGGTTACATGGCAGGTGTGTTACTAGGTTGCAACTTAACTGGCAATTACACAAGTTTTACAGGAAGAGAACAAGTTATAATAAGTGCAGCATATTTTGGGTTTTTGAGCTCATAACATATAATGCCTCTTATTGTCTTGAAAACAGCTGCCCATACCTTCAGACACAGTAAAAAGTCAAACAAAACAGAACAGAACAGAACCAATAAAAGCAAAACAATGAACAAAATAAAGAACCTCAAAACAAGATAGTAGTAAGTACAAAATGGCTACCATAATATATCACATTAACCTTGAAATAACTGCCCATGCCATTGGATATAATAAAAGCAAATAAGATACACCAGAATAAAACCCAACCCAACAAAACAATGAAAATGATAAAGGACTTCAAAACAAAATAATAGGGAGTTAACAATGGCTATCACCTTCAGGAGGTCCCCCATAGATGCTACACTGCAATTGTTATCCTCTAATAGATGATAACCAGTTAGTTTTCCAGTTTTGAACTTTTCAGGAAAACCCTATTAGCTCTAGGCCAGCAAAGTCAATGAAACACTAAACACTATAAACACCAAGTTGTATTTTACCTCAATAGCTCTCATCACAGCTTGTGTTTCTCCAGATCAGCTGGTTGCTTAGAGCGGTGGGGGAGGGGAAATGTTAGCTCTTCTTGTATCCCAGCCTGCATACTGAAAGGGGCTGGGGTCTGGATGTCCCCTCAGTGGTCCACATATGATGCTGGCTCACAAGGAGCGTTTGCTTCTTGTTGACTTCTTGTTCTCTTCTCCCACAATCTGAATGGAGCTGACTCACGGGAAAAAGTAGGCAGCTGGATCTTCCCTCAGCAGCTGGCACATGACTCCGGCTCACAGAGAGGACTTGCTTCGATCTGTTCTTTTTAGGTTAACATGTTAACACTTGAAATATTATTTACAGAGAAATAGCTGTAAAACTAACTTCTGTATAACTGCTACCTAGATTAAAAACAAGAATATTATCAAACCCCAGAAGCTTAATCCAAATCCTGTCCTCCTTCATGACATAATTGCTTTTCTAACTTTATGGCATTTACTTTCTTGCTCTTTTCTATCATTCACACAATTTAAGCATGAATTTTAACAATATAGTTTAATTTTGCTAATTTTTAACTTGATTTGAATGGGAATGTATTATATATTATATATGCAGTAATTTTGTCATGCATCTTTTTTCTGTTATGTTCTAAGATTCATCTATGTTACTAATCATATCTTCAGCCATATTTAATTATAGGAGCATATCTGTGTCGGCTTTATTGTTGATGGATGTTTGATTGCTTACTCTATCAACGTTAATAGCTATTTCCATAAGCAGTCGTGCATCTATCTTAGTGCACTCAATTCCTTATTCTTCACTCACTTCAAAACTGAACACTAAAGGAAGAGTGCAGAAGTGTATTTTTGCCTTGTGATCTCATACCCAGCGGATCTATTTATGGCCAAGATTCAATCTTCCCCCATTCCGTATGGCCCAAGATATCAGCTGACAGGGTACTGTTGATGCAACAATATTGAGTGACCTCTGGGTGACATAGTGTCTGGTCCAACTTGTGTCTAGTCACAAGTGTACCAGTTACATTTCATCATATATTTCCACTGGCCAACTCAGTCTCATGTCTTAGTGGGTCTAAGCCCAGACCATGACGAATAGCTCTGATCACAGGGTCATATAATGTCCTACGGGCAGATGCTGTCTCTCCAGAGTTCAGTAGCATGATAGGCCCTCCATATCCATGCGTTTTTTCTTTGAAGATTCAACCAAGGATAGAAAGTACTGGCGGGGCGGGGGGGATTGTGAATGTCTTGAACATGTGGACTTTTTTCTTGTAATTATTTTTTAAACAATATAGCATAATAACTGTTTAATTGCCAGGGATTTAGCTCAGTGACATAAGTGCCTCCCTGGAGAGTGTGAGGGCATGAGTTTGAACCCCGTTATCAGAAACAACAATAACAAATCAATAACTGTTGTATTATGCTTATAAGTACAGTAATCTAGAGATGATTTAAAGTACATGGGAGGATTTGTACAGATCATATGCAAATACTATGCCATTTTATATATGAGATTTGAGCATGTATGAAGTTTGCTGTCAAAGGACAACTATACTATGACTAAATAATTCGTCAAGAACAGAAATTTACTTTTTCAAGTTTCTGAAACCTGGAAAGTTCAAAACTGGAAAACTGGACAGTTTGCTTCCAAAATGGTACCTTCAGTGCTACATTCTTCAGAGGGAAGGATTTCTTATATGTGAAAGGGAAGAAGTGGGATAAATCTATTGCTGCAAGCCTTTTCCTTAGCAGCATTAAGTGGACAATGCACCCCTCACTAGGCCCCGTCTCACAGTCCTGTTGAACAGGGTATTAAATTTCAATAGGAGATTTTGAAGGAACGTCTTCAGACCATAGCAAATGAATCATGTGTATCTCAAGTGTTAATAATTTTCCAGGTTACTTATTTAATTTGTCCTATCTTTTTGGGAGACAAGATATAGTCATTTTTGTGCTTCATTTGGATTGATAAAATGAACAAATATTTGGCTACCAAATTTTACAAAAAAAAATATATCTTGAACAATCTAAGATAATCAACTATCTTTCCTCTTCAGATTTATTGAGGTATATTTGACATATAATAGACGGCATATTTTTTAAATACACTAGTTGATATTTGAGAGATATATGCTTGTAAAACCATTACCACAATCACAAAAATGAACATCTCCATCAATTCCAAAACCTTCCTCGTGTCATTTTGTAATTTTCTCACTCATTAACACCGCCCCCCCCAGATGATCTGCCTCTGTAACTATATACAGGCTAGTTTTCATTTTCTAGCGTTTTATTTTAAGTAGAATCATATTTTCTATCTAGCTTCTCTTACCCAGTATAATAATTTTGAGAGTTATCTATATTATATGTGTCAGTAGTTTATTCCTTTTTGTTACTGAGTAATATTTTATGCCAGGGCTTTATGTCACTTTTTTACTGAAATCTTTTATTTATATTTTAGCCTTCTTCAATTAAGTCATACCCTTCTCAAAGGTTTCCATGAAGACTTTCCTCCCTGGGAAAACTGATCAAATCACATTCCTGAAGATACAAAGCTTTGGAATAAGAAACCCCTGATAAATGGAGTTTCCTTGGAGGCCCAATTGCTCTAGATTTATGATCTTCTAGGCAAAACAACACAGAATTGAGAATGGTCCTGTTAGCTATAAACCATGAATTGCAAGAGATTGTGATTAATCTGAAGACTCATTTCTCTTCATCTCAACTCAGACATCCTTATTGTTTCAGAGATCTCCAGAGACGTGTTTGGCATCAGTGAAAATGGCCATTGATGTGGGATATAGACATTTTGATGGGGCCTACCTCTATCATAATGAGCATGAAGTAGGGCAGGCCATCAGAGACAAGATAACAGAAGGAAAGGTGAAGAGGGAAGATATTTTCTACTGTGGAAAGGTGAGATTTTACTTCTGCCTCTATTTTTTTTACAATGGTACCAAATCAATGCTGCAAGAATACCTAGTTCATCCTGTCTGTCTGAGTATCATCTGCCACTCTGTTTTACAAACCTAGAATACCCATGCTGCAGTATAATGAACCAAGCATTAGTGTGTCACACTACAATCTTTTACATCAGTAATTTCTTACTAGGCATTAGCAGAATTGCTTTGAGGACTGAGTAGGATCAAATGAGGACAAAGGAGCAATGAAAGGGGATATACAGCTGTGCAATAAGATTTCACCATGTTACCCCACTTCCTCTTGCTAGGCAAATGATTCATTGAAGCCACACATGTGACTATTTCCCATGCTCATTCAAATTCTATCAGCACGGCATGAAAATGAAGTCTCAAGCAAGGTCAGCACCTCTTACCAGAGATGTGTTCTCTGGTTACAGAATGGAGAAGAGCAAAAGTGCAAGATGGTCAATTAGGAAATTACTGTGGCAGCAGGAAGACTTTGTTATCAAATCAGGTTTTCTGTATCCAGATAGATCTTCAGGTTTCATGTGCTATGTTCAGATAAAGTCAGACTTGGTGCCCAGGACCCATGAACTCGTCTTACACTTAGATGAGACTGCAGCATACACATGTTTCTGTGAAATGGAAAGTGTGCTTTACAAAGGGTAAAAGGCTGCATCCGTGTGAAAATAGCATGGAAATTAGTTAACCTCTTTTGTGATTCTTTCAGCTGTGGGCTACGTGCTTATCCCCAGAGTTGGTCCGTCCCACCCTGGAGAGGACACTCCAAGGGCTCAAGCTGGATTACGTGGATCTTTACATCATTGAACTCCCCATGGGCCTCAAGGTAAGTACGGATGGCTAAAGGGCTCTGCCCCTTTGTGACCATGAGCTGACAACCACAAGCATGGACCTTATTCATTCCTTAGCACCACAGAATGCTGTAGCCTTTGTCCCATAGATTAACACGTACTGACCTTGCCTGACAAGTATCCAAAAGGGTGAGATCCAGACTTGGGCCTGGATCTCCTGTTTATTTACTTACTTACTTACTTACTTACTTACTTACTTACTGAGAAAGAGAAAGGGGCCTTACTCTGTAGTTCTGACTTTTACTGTACTATGTAGCCCAAGCTGGCTTTGAGCTCTGGGCGATCTCCTGACCTCAGCCCTTCAAATGCTGGGATTACAGGTAAGTGCCATCACATCCCTCTTCCAAATTTCTTGATTTTTTTATCCAGTGAAGTTTCTATCATATACATGTTCTGTTTTTTATAATGATAGGTTAAACTCTTTCTATCAAACCAGCAAGATCCCTTAATGCGGTCCACATGTTAGCTGCCCAGCATTTGGATACCACCTTCTTTCTGCTCACACAGTCACTGAAATGTTCATATGGGAAACAATGCACAACAGTATATCTAATGAAAATATACTTGCTTTCTGATCCCTGACCCTTAGAGAGATAACCCAAAAAGCATTCAGATATTTGGAGCCAGATCCAAGAGCAACATATCTAGACAGTATCTCTTTCTCTAGTTAAAATCAAATTCTTCCATGCCCTTTTTCAATCTATAGACACATTGTTAATTTAATACCCTATGTGCACACTGCAGAGTGATAACTGCTTTAAAATTTGAGGGACTAAGACACAAATGTGGTCACTTGCCCAGGAGGTGACTAATGTCCTGCTGATCAGGAAAAATAAGGTCTCAGCCTTGCAGTGGCCAGAGTCTTATTATGTGACCTGTGCTGCTGGCCTCAATTTATTCTCTGGGAGAATTTTGCTGTTTTTGTGGTCATATCCAAGTCCATCTCTTTGGGGAAGACTCTCCTGTTGCATTCCACTTTATGAAGATGTAGGTTTCAAGATTTCAAGCATTAGTTTCTTATTGTATTCCTTAAGAGTTTGAGAAGGTTTCAGAACATTCACACTCAGCCAACCCCATAAATGACTAATTAAAACTAGAAATCTTGTTGTGTCAGGTTTCTTTTATCTAATGCTCAGCCTAAAACTTTCTGCCTCATAGAATACAGCCTCGTTCTTCTGCTTATCTACTAACTCCTCAACTTACCTGCTTCCATTTTGATCACTGGCTCAAAATAATACAAAACTACAGAAACACAGATAAAGTGATTTTGGCACCTTGTTTGTATGCCACCATGTATTGTTTGTTGGTCAGGAAGAATAAGCCTAATATGGCATGAAATCTTGCCAGCAGGGGCATCTTGAAGATTATTTTTCTCCCGAGTCCTAAATGCAAAGCCAAGTTCACTGCACATTAGCAGACAGTGCACTGGATACTCCTCCATTAATATGTCTTGTTGCATCTTGAACTGAAATTTACACAACTTTCACAAGGCTGGAAAAAAGATCATTTCCAAGTTAAATGACACAACTAAATTACTCATGGATAGGCAATCAAGGGCCAACAGAAGCCTGCAATTCATAACAAGCTGGTGTCTAAGACCTTCTAGTCCTAAGAGACTCAAAAAACTGCCCAGAGTAAATAGGGACTTGTTTGAATGACCCCTCATCAGAGACTCCAAAAGCAGTCTATTATGGATTTCATATCCCAGGGGACACAGGCCATGCTGAGCTAAACCACTGTCGGATGATGACCTGTGCTGAGAGAGTCAGGAGCAGGGGCTGGGCTACTCTGGACAGTTCCTCCCTACTTCAAAATGCTGCATCCTGAGTACATTCTGCAGCTACTACAAGTGAGAAAGGCAAGAGTTAGGTCAACCAAGGCTATCAAATGACTTGCCCTGAATCATTTTTATTTCCACTCAGTTTCCTGCCTTCCAACCTTGGGTAGCACTGACTCTTTTAATTTCTGCAAAGTTCAGACATGAATCTTTGCATCTTTGATTGTAATGAAAAACAGAAAGAACCCACATTAGCACAACATAATCTTGTCATTTTAAAAGCCCAATAGACACAGATACATCTATCTTTCAAACAGGACCTTAATAAAGGCTGTAAAAACTGGCCCACAAACCCACTGTTTTTGTACTAATACCCTAAAACTCCAGGTTTAGTAGGCCCATATAGAGAGCCCTTCCCAGACCTCATCTTGGTTTGGGACATTTATATTTGTAATCCCAGGGAGAAGTCATTGGAATTCCAATAAGTTGATTCCAATATATCACCTTTCATACAATCTATGACAAGAGTAAAGACACTAAGATATATTTGTAATTATGGGGTCCAACCAGGATGAAGATTCATTGGAACAGAAGCCTCAACCCAGGGCCCAACCCAGATTTTATTAATTCATGAAGAAGGGAGTAACTTGAGGATGAGTGACTGTGCGAATGATGGGAAATATGTGAGTACTGTGGGCCGGGCTAGGCAGGAGACCTTAAAACATCTCTGCAGTATGCACAGAGAAGGATGTACAGAAAGACTAATCTGCACAATGCAATTGAAGTATCACTTAATGTTTTGGGGATAGTGCCTCAGTTCTGGTATGTAAACTTTTTTGCCCTGAGAAGTTATAGCCTCTTATTTTAAGGCTCAGTCCCAGTTGACAGCCTGAGAGCATTGGCTCTTCATCCCATGTGGCTCAACCATGGTTTTGGGAGTCACAAGGTGGGGAAACAGTGACTGTTTGAAGTGCCTAACTTCAAAGATTGCACACCAGTACCTCAGCTAGCCTTATTTACATTGCCAATTAAAAAGGAAACAGCCTAGCCAGCTCTGTACATATCAGTACATGAGGATAGGGCCAGGTTTAGCCAAAGTGGAGATAACTGCTCTTTGTTCAAGGAAAGCCCTCCAGGTGGTCCTCCACAGGCCCACTGGCTAATCTCAAAGCAACAATATAACTAGACCAGTGAGTAGGAATTGCCAATACCCAGATGAAGGTTGAAAAATACTTACTAATTGCCCCTAATACCATGCTATTTTAAACAATTCTTCATTTTAAGCCCAGTACTCACATTAATCAGAATTCTTACTCTACATGGCAGAAAGTCAATAAAATTGATCCTAAAAGAAACAAAATGAAGAAATAGAGAATTTGAAAAGGGATCTAATTCAGGCCCAAAAGTTCAAACTATGTTTTTTCATTCTGGATCTTTATATATCTTCATGTGATTTTCATATTTCTCAAAAATCCTCATCTATGAAGGCAAAGTGACTGTTGACATATCAATACAACTGGAAAATTCAGAAAGAGTAAAACCACACTTTAAAACTCCTGGAGAAATACTGAATTGCTTGTTTTAGCCACTCCTAATTATTCTTCAGCTGCCATGGCCACAAATGGGAGCTGAGAATATCCAGGTAAACTTGGGCTCAGTTACACTAGATAGGAGGACATAAGGATGGTAGAAAACAAAACACATTTTCACTGAGCTCATTAATTAGCTGCCACTTAGTGAGAAATGAACCCCATCTCTGTTTCATATGACCTGACAGTGTGGTTAAATCATAACTAGTCTCTCTCCCACATTGCTTAACTTTGGTGCACTGGAAATAGTATAGGATATAGGGTCACCCAGAACTAGATTGACATTCAGCTGCATCAATGTCCAGAATAGTCACTTTGGTCATTCTGAATTTTCTAAATTGACAATTTTATTGTCTGTAAAACAGAGATAATAGTAACAGGGCCAGGAATTTGTCTTACTTGTAATTAAGTACTTGTCTAAAATGTGTGAGGCCCTAGGTTTTATCCTCAGCAATAACAATGATAATAATAAACAATTTGCAGAGTGTCATGAGAAGTCATTAAAGTTATATATAAAGTTACTGAAACAAAGAAGCTTCTGAGTTAGAAGCCTGAATAACCTCATTTTATTAAGAACAAAATAGAGCCTCCAAATGATGAAGTAGCTTCTCATTTTCAAGTCCAGAAAAACCAGGGCCAGACTCTGAGTCCTATGGCAATTGCTTCATAGGTACCTCCCTATATACCCCCGTCCCTTCTGCCTCATTCCTCCAAGTCTGTTGACATCAGCACTCTGTGGATTGCAGGGATTTCTTGGTGCCAGGCTGTCAGGTAGAGTGACCTCAGCCCTAATCTTCACTTAGTAGTGATTTCTGTTCAAATGACAGATTTTTAACTCAGTCTTAATGTTTGAGGGTGGACATATATTTAAAAGTTAAGGAAACAAATTTATTTTTCTGTGGCTGAAATAACTTTCAAAATATTTTTGGAAAGGTAAATAGAGAATTTCTATTTATATCGTGAGAGGATTATGGCTCAAGGAATAGATTAAACTGATCATAGCACTCCACTCAAAACATACACTAGGGAAGCCCAGGAGGATGGAGCCAGCATCGGGTGAGAGCCTTCTTGCTCCTAGGATTTCTCAGCAAGGGCATCACATAGTGAAAGGCAAACACACAAGCTTGTGTTTCTATTTCTCTTCTTACAAAAACCATTCAGGGCATTGAGGAACGCCACACCACTCAGGGCCTTGGCCCATGCCACAGCATGCTCCCTGCACAACTTGCACTGGCCCTGGGAAATGCATGCTGCCCTCGGACCTTGACCTTAACACAGCTGCACACTTCCTGCACGACTCCAGTTGCCACTGAGGAATGTCATGCCACCCTGGGATCTTAGCTCATACTGCCATCTGCTCCCTGCACGACTCCAGCTGCCACTGAGGAATGCCATACCACCCTGGGACCTTGGCCTGTGCCCAGTGGATGCCCAGACCCAGAGATGTTTACAGAGTGTTCCACCCAACCACATAAGAATACATATTCTTCTCAGCTATGCATGGGACATTCTCCAAAATAGATCATATATTACCCCCAGAATACATTCTTAAGTAACTGCAAAGGTATTGAAATTATCCCATGCATAATATCTGGCCATAGTGCACTGAAATTGGAAATTAATGGCAAAAGAAATTGCAAAACATGGAAATTAAATAACAACCTTTTGAACAACCAGTGGGTTACAGATGAAATTAAAGAAGAAATGAAGCAATACTTACAATTCAAAGAAAATGCAGATACAACATACTGTAATCTGTGGGATGCAATGAAAGCAGTCTTAAGAGAGAAATATATAGCAATAAATTGTCATATCAAGAAAATAGAGCAAGCACAAATAAACAACCTAATGCTTCATCTCAAGCTTCTAGTAAAAGAAGAGCAAGTTAAGCCCAAAGCTTGTAGAAGAGAGGAAATTGTAAAGACTAGAGCAGAAATCAATGCAATTGAAACTAAAAAAAAAAAAAAAATACGAAGAACTAATGAATCAAAAAGCTGACTTTTTGAGAGAATAAACAAAATTGACAAACCCCTAGCTAACCTTATAAAGAAAAAAGAAAGAAAAAAATCCAAATTCACTCAATAAGAACTGAAAAGTGAGAAATTATTACAGATCCTTTGAAAATTCAAAAGATCATGAATACTTACTTTGAAAATCTCTACTAACATAGAGTGGAGAACACAGAGGAAATGGACAGATTTCTAGAAACATATAAACTATCAAAGGTCAATCAAGTAGATATAGCAATTTTGAATAACCCAATATCAGCTATTGAAATTGAAAACATAATTAAAAACTTACCAACGAAGAAAAGCCCAGGTCCTGATGGATTCATGGCTGAATTATACAAGAAATTTAGAGATACTCCTTTAACTCTTCAATGAAATTGAAAAGGAAGCAATCCTCCCTAAATCATTCCTGGAAGCAAGTGTTACTCTCATACCAAAAACAGAGAAAGACCCAACCAAAAGGGAGAACTATAGGCCAATCTCACTAATGAATATTGATGCAAAGATTCTCAATAAAATACTGGCAAATAGAATGTAGCAAACTATCAAGAAGATTATATATCATGACCAAGTTGGATTCATTCCAGGAATGCAGGGATGATTTAACATATACAAATCAATAGTAATATAAATCAATACACATCAACAGAGTCAAAAATAAAAACCACATGGTAATCTCAATAGATGCAGAAAAAGCTTTCGATAAAGTCCAACACATGTTCATGATAAAAATCCTTCAGAAACTTGGAATACATGGTGTTTCCTTCAATCTTATAAAGACCATCTATGACAAACCAACATCCAACATTATACTAAATGGACAAAAACTGAAAGCTTTCAATTTAAAATCAGGAATAAGACAAGGATGTCCACTATCACCACTACTATTCAATATTGTTCTGGAAACACTAGCCAGGGCAATCAGACAAGAGAGAGAAATAAAAGGAATAAAGATAGGAAAGGAATTTGCAGATGACATGATATTCTATATAGAACACCCAAAAAACTCCATTAAAAGACTACTAGAGGTAATAAAATAATTCAGCTGGATACAGTGTTCAAAAATCAATAGCATTACTGTACACAACAAACAACTCTCTGAGAGAGAAATTATGGATATATCACCCTTCACAATAACATCTTAAAAAATGAAACATTTAGGACTTTCTAATGATGAAAATTATGCTATGTTAAAAAAGTAAATTGAAGAGGATTTAGAAAATGTAAGGATATTCCTTACTCTTGGCTAGGAACAACCAACATTGTGAAAATGTCCATACTCCCAAGACTGTTATACAGATTGAACACAATCCCAATCAAAATACCATTAACATACTTCACAGATCTAGAGAAAACAATCCTAAAATTCATTTGGAAGCAGAAAAAAAACCCCTAGAATAGCAAAGCAATTCTGGACAACAAAGGCAAGACAGGAGGCATCTCAATTCCTGACTTGAAACTATACTATAAAGCCACAGTGATAAAATCAGCATGATACTGGCAAAGAAATAGACCTGAGGATCAATGGAACTGATTAGAAGATGCAAACACGACTACAAAGACACTCAGCCACCTGATATTTGACAAAGAGGCTAAAGATTTTCACTGGAAGAAGTATAGCCTCTTTAATAAATGGTGTTGGAAAAATTGGCTCTCCACATGACAAAGCCTCTAACTAGATCCATGCCTATCACCATGCACAAAATTGAAGACTAAATGGGTCAAAGACCTAAATAGTAAAACAGAAACACTAAATCTACTGGAAGGCAAAATAGGCAGAAGTCTTGGAGAATAGGGGTAGGCAGAGAATTCATGAACAACACGCAAACTGCATGGGAAACACTTCAAAGAATCAACAACTGGGATCTCATATTATTGAAAAGTTTCCACACTTCAAAAGAAATAAAAAACATAGTGCAAAGAAAACCCATAGAATTGGAAACAATTTTATCCAGCTCTAACTCAGAGAAAGGACTTCTATCAAGAACATCTAAAGAACTGAAAAACATCAAGTCCCCCAAATTCAAATGTCCTCTCCAAAAATGGGCATCTGATATAAAACACAGTTTTCAGATGAAGATATACAAATGACAAATAAATACATGAAGAAATGTTCACTATCGCTGGTCATTTGAGAAATGCAAATTAAAAGCAGCACTGAGATTTCATCTGGTTCTGCAAAGAATGGCCACAATCAAGAAATCAACTGATAACAAATGTTAGTGAGGCTGCGGGGGAAAAAAGAAACATTGCTCCACTGTTGGTGGAGTGTAGACTGGTGCAACCACCATGGAAATCAGTAAGAAGAATTCTCAGAAGACTAGGATTGGAAGTTCCATTCAATCCAGCTATTTCCCTCCTGGGTATTATTCCAGAAAAACTGCAAAGGTTATATCACAGTGATGTATATGCACCCACATTTATAGCATCACAATTTGTAATAACTAAATCTTGGAAATAACCAAAATGCCTATCAACTGCATCTTTCCCAAAGTAGTAGTAGTGATCTTTTAAAAATGCTAAGTCAAATCAGACTGAATATCCAAGTTCTTAACTACTACTCCTTTCTTAAAAGAGTAACTTTGTCCTTAAGATAAATCTCCATGGTTTAAGAACAATAACAAGCTACTTAAAAAACAAAAATAGTGCCAGGTGTGGTGATGCATTCCTGCAATCCCAGCACTTGGGAGTCTAAAGCAAGAGGATCACTGTTGGTTTGAAGCCAGCTGGTGCTAGATAGTGAGTCCAACACCAGTCTGAACTGTGTAGTGAGACCCTGTCTTAAAACCAAACAAAATAAAACAGAAGAGAGTCAGTCAAAACAAAACAATGAACATGATACAGGACTTAAAAACAAGATAAAAGGAAATCAACAATGGCTACCATAGTGCCTCTTATCTTCAAAATAGCTGCCCATACCATTAGACATAATAAAATCAAACAAAGCAGAACAAAATAAAACCAATCAAAACAAAAAAATGAAAGCAATACAGAACTTCAAAATGAGTTAATAGAAAATCAAAATTGCACTCAAAATAAATGCTAGGCACAATAGTAAAACTAATATATCTATTGGGCAAATGAAATAATTCTTAGACATTACACAGAATGGATGAGAGATTTCATTTTTACTGTCATGATTATATGATTATACATAATTTTACACTTACATGTGTCTATAATATATAAAAAGTATGTATATGTACACATACACAGTATTTATTATGCAATTATATAAACACAAGAAAAATAAATGAATTATTTCCCCAAGGCCAGGGTACACTGATTTCAAATTCCATAATTTTAATTCCTAGGTACAAATAAAATGAATTCCATGATGTTTTGTTTTGGTTTGTTCTTTTGCAGCCAGGAAAACAAAACTACCCTAGAGATAAGAATGGGAAATGGTTATACCACAAAGTAGATCTGCGTGCCACTTGGGAGGTAAGTTTGTGTGGGCATCTAACTCAAAAAGGCTACATATTAAACTTGTGATAGGATTGTTTTTATCAGAGTTATGGAGAGCTGCAATCTCTACTCCCAGTGTAAACTAGCTGTTGATTAGGCATTTCTAACTATATGTACAGATATATGAGATTTCCACTTTCTGGAATTAAATACAAGGTTTTGTTGTGTTGAAAAACACCAAGGAAAGCTAAGAGGAAGGCCTGGAAGGGGACAAAAGTCAACAAACAGGTCCTAACCTAATAGCAATCATAAATATATAAATGAGATACACCCACAAACTTAGAATTTGAATTTTAAAAAGCAACAAAAATAAATGAGAAACCTACAAATTAAAAAAATAAATCAAACCATCAATAATATAATGTTCAAAACAGACAAACTGAAAACAAAATGATACATGAAAGACTGAAAACAAACTCTGGTTCCACTTTTGAGCCAGCTGCTGGCTGCATTCTTGGGGTGATGAGTGGAAATTGTAGGAAAATAAAATTGTCATGGGTTCAGGGAGAGAAGAGAGAGCTCCTGTCACAAGTGGTTTATGTATGAGGTGATGTGGAGGTGTGACCTAGCGTAGAAGGCAACCCAAATGCAGTGAAAAGACAATACACATGGGACAGGAACTCTTGGGGACCCTTTTGTGTTTGCGTCTCTCCTGTGGTATTTTCACCTGCAGAAGCTTATAACTTGTGTTCAGGTGTCGTCAGGAATCCTAAACTTGTAAGAATCTGAGAAAAGCATGCTACTTGCTGCGTGCTGACAACTGTTCCCCCCCCCCCCAGTATTCCAAATTCCAAAGATTGGAAATTGTACTCTGCCTAGTGTGTCTTCCTATTTCCTCCTAGAGGTAACAAACGAAGATCTGAATCTGCAGAGTTGTGTGGAGGGATAAGGAGGAAATGACTAACTTTTCTGATCCCTGGGGCTCTCTGTCCACAAGACCATACATTCATCTCTGATCTCACTGTTGCTGATGAAGCTTGGAGTATGGCATCCTACTGTACCCTAGACTGACAGGGTGATCCATATCCCCAGGACAAAATGAGTTCCAGTTCAAACTAACGAGGTATTTGTTTCACAAGAGGATAACATGTCTGTTACACTTCCATCATAATCATAACATGGAATCAAGAACTTTTAAATTAACTAATTAGTACATTAAAGAATGTAAGACATGGTAAGCAACATGAAACAAGAACAAGAAAACATTTTATTCAACAAAAATAATAATCACAAAAATAAAAGGCAACAATACAATAGCTTGGGAGAAATAGAACAGATACAGATAAAAAAATTTCAACTTAAGGGACCAGAGAATACCAATATTTATAGCAGCACAGTTTATAACAGTTAAACCCTGGAAGCAGCCGATATACTAATCCATAGATGACTGGGCAAGGAAAATGTATCTATATATAATACAATACTATTCAGTTATAAATATGGATGAATTTCACATATTTGTAGGAAAATGGATGTACCTGAAAAATATAATGTTGAATGAAACAAACAAGATACACAAGTGTAAATATCATATGATATTTCTTGTTTGAGTGAGGAAAAATGCAAACAAAGAATAATAAAGGATGAATAGAAGGTGAAAGGGGATGAATATCTTGCAAATAGAAAGGGGTCCAAGAGATCAAGGGTGAGAAAAGAGGTAAAAGGAAGAGGAAATGAAGTAAAGATCTGCCATGAACAGGAATTCAATTACCTGCTATAAATATAAACATTATGTGCCATAAATAAGAACTAAGGTTAATATATCAAAAAGAATGAAAATGGGCAAAAGGAATTAAAGGAGGGAAGGAAAGGGGAGAAGAAGGGTTAAAAGAGAAACAAGCTATGTTATGTATATGTACCTTCTTCCCAAGATGTTACAAATTGCGTGTACTATGAACATGTATTAATAAAAAAACTCTTTAAAAGGACCAAAATGAGGAAAATTTCCAATATGAAGAAAGAAAGGAGCAGAAAGAGTTTTAAACAAGAAAGTAAAGCTGAGTTGTAAAAAATAAAACTAGACTTTCTAATATTCACCCAATAGGAGTCTAAGAAAAAAGGAAAAGAAGTAATACTTAGAAAAACCAAGATATTTAGTGCATTGTAAAAACAAGAAAAAATGAGGAAACTCACGTCTAAAGGCATTGTAGTGAAATTTCAGATTATCAGGTCTAAGGAAGCAGTGTTAAATCTTTCAAAGTAGAGCAAAGAAGCCAACAAAGGAACCAAAATAGAGGGGGAAAAAGTAATCAAAGGAAAGGAAGAAAAGAGGGAAAATAAATAGATGGGGAAATGGAAACTAAAAAGCAAGATGAGAAAAAGACGTTAATTACAGAATATACAAATAGTCTAAGCAAGTCAAAAGATGGATTGTTAAGAATGGATGCAATTCCACTGTATTTTATGTACAAGGATCTCATTTTAAATAAAAAGAAACAAGTTAAAAGGAAAAGATTTACTAAAAGGATAGAATAAGATATAGTAGGGGCTAGCACTAATCAAAAGAAAGGTAGAGCTGGGGATATAGCTCAGCAGCACAGTTCTTGCCTGGCAAGTGTGAGGTTCTGAGTTCAGTTCCTGATGCCAAAGCAAAACAAAACAAACTAAATTGGTTATTTTAATATCAAGAGGAACACTTCAAATATATGTAGTTCATTGCACACCAATTATAACTTAATAGAAATGTTTTTAAAATAGGGAGAGTCACACAATTAAATGAGTGTGAGTTTTGTTTTTATCTATTTTATTTTCATCAAACAGTGGATGTAAAAAGATGATAGATACTTCACAGCCAGCCTAACTGTAAGTCAAAAGATAGTGCATTGATAGAAATCACTTCATGTCTATATACGCTCAGAAATGTCACTACATACAAACCCATACTAAAAAAATACTAGGGAGTCTAAGAGTACTCAAAGAAACATGTAAAAAGTGACCAAGTTAAACTTAATAAAGTATTTAACATCTACAAAATTTTAAGATCAAATAATGTAGAAAATGTAATAAGCTATGATTAATGTCTATGTGTACTATTAATATCACAGATTTCCGAGGCAGAAAAAGGAATGTGTGGACATACTGCTGTTGTCTTTGTTAAGGGGAAAGCATATATATAAAATGTATTTTAAAATTGTTTAAAGTAAGAAAGAGTTTTAAAGAAACAGAAAAATTGAGATAAACTGAAATAAGAATTTTTTTTTGTGTGTGTGAAAGAAATCAAACTCAGGGCTTTGCTCTTGCCAGACAAGCATACCACTGGGCTATAGCTTCAGCCCCAAAATAAGAAATTAAGATAGTAGGAACATCCCCAATATATTTACAGTTGCAATAAATATAGATAAATTCACTTGCTAAAAGACAAATATTGACAAAATTAATGAGGCAGTGAAATATACAGGTATGCAAAAATTAAAATTTAAAGAAGAGAGGAATGTTATCACTCAAATGTTTATCAGAGAAAGTATAATTATATTAATATCAGATGTATATTTAAATATCAAAAGCATTTTAGGGATAAAATGTTGCATTAAAGATATTACAAAAAGATATGCTAATTTAAAATACATATATATTCCATATAACAGACTTCATAGTATACATAGCAAAAAATCAAAATATTTAAAGTAAAATCAATGAAGTAACAAATTATAGAATACAGGAAGGCATTAACAAATATAGGAAGAATACAGGGAGACACTGACTAACATACTATCATAGCAGGGGATTTTTTTTACATAGTCCTTTAAATTACTGAGAAGCCAGATAGCTACCGTAGAATCTAGGTATGGTGCAGTGTGGGGAGTCCTAAGCAAGGGGAGATATACCCTGCTGACCCAGTAACAAACTAAGCTGAGAGAAACCAACTGGAAATGCAATCCCAGTGCTATGACCAGAACAGATAAACTCTCAGCACCAAAGCTGAAACCCATGCCTCTGGAAACTGCAATTTGAATTCCTTGCTGCTGCTGCTCCATCTGAATCAGCACAGCAGGGATAGAGACACGAAAGCTCTGAGAGCAGGAATCGGCGAATGGAGGTGAGAGCAGGACTGGTGGGGAGCCCTGCATCGACCTGTGGTGAGTGAGAGGAATGGGGATAGATAAGGAGGCTCCCACAGAGGACATTCTGGGACCAGGCAGACTAGCCAGAACAGGGCGCTGCAGTGACTTCAGTTGCATATTCCCCTCTCAAGCAGGATTGGTGGGGAGTGCTTAACCTGGGTGACAACACAAACCAAGACCCAGTAGGCTAGCCCTAACCAGGTCCCTGAGCCTGGCAGTGCACCCTAGCAGGGAAGCCTTCAGTAGGTTGACCTGGAGGGGCGGGCCCAGCAGAGGCTGCCCAGGTCTGTGTCTCCCTAGTACACTGCAGTGGGCAGGAACACCTAGCTGGAGTGATTCAAACAAACTGTGACCCACAAAGAAAGAAACTGGGCCTCCTATATATGCCTGTATGGAAGGAACAAAAATATGAGAAGAGGAGGCAACATGAAAGGGTCCTCCATCCCCAATCCTGAGAACACTGATCCAGGAAAGGTAAAGGCAAAGGAGAGTGAAGACAGAAAACATGCAACATCAGACACAGCACCAATAGACATAAAGCAATATCTCTAGAGCCTCATAGACGAGTTCAAAAGTGAAGTATTTAATGAAGTAAAGCAAGATATAAGTAGAATAGTTAGAGAAATGCTAAGCACCACCCAAGAAAAAACAGATAGTGGAATGGAATAACAGAAAAAAAGGGAAGAATTGTTTGATGGAGAAAATAGAAAAAAAATAGAATACATGAAGCAGGTTCAAAGAGATTACCAGGAAACTAAAAACTCTATTGAAAGCTGGCTTAACAGCTTGAAAGAAACTGAAGATAGATTATCCAAACTGGAGGACAGATTTGTAATGTGGGAGCATGAAATGAAAAACTTAAAAATAACAAGGAAACAAATAGCAATAATATAAAGGCTAGAAGATGATAAGAGGATCTATAACTTAAGAATTAAAAATGTAAAGGAAGAAGTAGGGACACAAACAAATGAATTACAAAGGCTATTCACAGAAATAATCCAGGAGAATTTTCCTAATTTAGTAAAAGGTAAAGATACTCAGATGTATGAGGCATTCAGGACCCCAGCCACCTACAACCCAAACTACACCCAGAACTATACCCAGGCATATAATAATCAAAATTCCAGAAATCCCATATAAGAACAGAATATTAAAAGCCATCAGAGACAAGAAGCAGATCACTTGCAAGGGAACACCCATCAGAATTACAGCAGACTTCTCAGCACAAACCATCAAATCATGAAGAGCGTGGAGTGAAATAATTCAAGCTTTGAAAGACAATAACCTCCAGCCAAGATTGATATATCCTGCACAACTGCCCCTAGAAATTAATGGAGAAACACGGATAAAGAGGAACTAGGGGAATTTGCAACCACCAATTCAACTCTACAGAGAATACTGCAGGACATTCTAAAAGAGAAAAATAACAAGATTCCAGAAACAGTAACAGGCCACAATGAATGCAGCAGAAAGCGAAATGAAGAAGACAAACTGACAACCAATGACAGAAAAAGACCTCAACAGAAATGAGGCAGAGAAGGTTGGACATAATTTCTAATATAGATGGCCTAGATACCCTAACTTCGGGGAAAAACAGAGAATAGCAGGCAGAGCGGATCAAAAGATAGGATCCACCGAGAGGCTCTTTATAGGAAATATAATTAGCCTGAAGAAGGTTATATGGACCAAAATCAAACAAGAGAAAATGGAACTCGATATAATAGGGAACCAGAGAGTAATAGGGGTAACTAAACCAGTGTATATGGATAGGTTGAACAGACAGGCTTTAAGAAATGAAGAAATATATCTAGAAATCCAGCCTAGAGTGAGAAAGTTCAGAAACACTTAAGTAAATAGCAGATTGCCCCCCCCCCCAGTACAAATCATGAGTGTTGGGGAGACCTAAAAATACACAGTTTATTCTAAGGGAGTAAAAGGGAGGAATAGTCCAAAAAAAAAAAAAAAAAACAGCAGAAGGTATAGCTAATAATGTATCAGGAATTAAAACCCCTATTACTCGCACCACTCTGCTTGACTGGAACTCGTTCTGTCCTAGTTTGTATACAAGCATTGGATCTGAGGGGCACGGACAGCTGTCCATAGCATAGGGAACATCTTTAATTCCCTATTAACTCAATCAGGATCCATGTATGACTTATACTGTTATATCATGACTGATCTTAGTTAAATCTGACTTGTTTGATTGCTGCTTATTATTGACAGATTTTATTCAAAACCTGTAGGGTTAATATCAACAAGTTGAGGAGAACAGACAACTATACTGAAAATGACAATGATTTACTACGATATCCATTCTGACTTGATTACTACCTGTTTTTGTAGCTCTATACTATGTATAAAGTTGTATTTCTGTTAATTCTGTTATGCACTGATATGCTCAATTATACTTTATCTGATGATATAGCCAATGCTGTTGATGGTAACAAGAAATAGCACAGTGACCAGGATAGAACTCCTTATACAGCAGATTTATATATCATTTTAGTTTTATATGTCTATAGGAAAAAGTTTAGTTCTGCCTTGCTTTGTTATGTTTTTCCCTCTAACATAGAAAGGATAGAAATACATGTTAAGACTCAAGCTTATGTAAAACCTATAAACAGTTTATGAGCACTGATCTGATGACATATGATGAAATGAACAAAAACTTTGAAAGAAAGAGAGTGGCACTGCAGTACCCAATCTTGATTCCGGAGTGTTACGATGTAAAATCCAGCAATAATATTAATCTTTGTTCAGAAGGATTTTAATCTAATATGCTCTGTTAGGTCTCAACATAAATGAAGATATGGATAAACACGTACATGTCTAAGTGTACAGGATTGATAGCCATAATATTTGGTTTTTCTTGGATAGTTGAACAGAACTGTTTGCAGTCTCCCTGGTTGAAATCCTATTTATGTGTTCCACTTGTGTACCTTGAACAACTATTTATAGGGGGACAATATGTATACATCAGCTAGTGATTTATTACTATTTCTTTTCTTTGAAAGTATGTACTATTTCTGCCTGTTTTCTACCCTGTTTTGTCTTTCTTTAAAAAAAATAAATTACTGAGAAGCCAAACTAATTCTATTTTATATATAATGTGAGTTTTCCATCCAAAAAACACACATTTGTCAAACACAGCAAAACATTTATAAAAATTGATCAATTATTATGTCATAAAGACATTCTCAGCAAATTTTAAGAAATATATCATTAGTAAAATGCTAGTGTACATTTAAAAAATATAACGAGTGGTACATGTCTGTAATCCCAGAACTTGGGAATCTGACACAGAAGGATCTCCACAAGTTCAAGGCCAACTTAGGCTACATAGTGAATTCAAGATTACCCTGAATTACATAGTTAGAGCTTGTCTCAAATAGTAATAGTAATAGTAATAGTAATAGTAATAGTAATAGTAATAATAGTAATAGTAATAGTAGTAGTAATAATAATAATACACAAGGAAGATATGGTTATAATATTTTTAAAGCTCATTCAATCATGAAGTCCTGTCTCCTTTTGTTTTGTCACAGAATAGCTATCCACATACCCAGCCTCTTCTTTTTAAAGAATTCACAGTCAGATTTATAAGCATTCAGTCTTTCTCCTCATGAGGTTTTCTGACCTGTTGACATTTGCTTGCTAGGCCTTAGAAGCTTGCAAAGATGCTGGCTTGGTGAAATCTCTGGGAGTCTCTAATTTTAACCGCAGACAGCTGGAGCTCATCCTGAACAAACCAGGACTCAAATACAAGCCAGTCTGCAACCAGGTACAGTTGAACAGCTCCCCCAGGTGGGGAGCAGGACCCAATATAATATGTAAATAACAAAAAGAGCCTGGACTATCCATCAGGAAGACTTTTGGTTGCTCAGCATAAATACCATAAGACCCTGGGCCAATCTTCTAACTTCTCTCAATTTATGTCCTTAAGGAAAAATATTTTTGAACTTCAAATCCAGGTAAGTTTTTGTGAAGAAGAAAAACAATGAAGGTGGGATAAGATCGTCTAGATACTGATACAGCATAGAATACTTAAAATAATATGTAAAACCTGAGAGTTGAAGGCAGAAAAATCCCTTTAATCAAGGAGCTCATGATCAGTCTGGGCAAAATCCAAGACTCTGTTTCAAAAAAGTAATATAAAAGCACTTCAAGTAGGGCATAGGCTGAGGTAAGAATATTTATGGCAGCTTCAAGGCCAAGCCTGAGCAATTTAACAAGACCTTGTAAAAAATTAATTAATGAAAATTAAAAGGCCTAGGTTGTATCTCAGTTGTCTCTGGGTTCAATTCCCAGTACTATGATCAAGTGATCAATTAAATTAAATTAAATTAAATTAAATTAAATTAAATTAAATTAAACAAAAGTGGAAGTTCAAGAACCAACATACAAATAAATTGAAGATGGCAAATATTTAGAAACAGACCAAAGTATAAAAAAAACTTACCATAAAGTAACACAAGCTAATGGCAAAGGGATAAATTTTCTTTAATAGTGTGATAAAATGGTTATGTAAAAACACAGAACTTTGCCTCACATTACCCCAAAGTTGTCCGAAGTTAAAGTTAAAGAAAAAAACCAGAAATCGTGCAAATACAATGAAAGAATTTTAATTTTTTCAGAACTGTGGATAGGAAAGGAAGCCATGAAAAATATATAAAGAAAATCTGATAAATCTGATAGTGTAAAAATACTAAACACTGGAAGCATTAGAAACAAACAAAAACAGATAACCATATATAATTAAATATCATAAAAGGGGTTCATATCATTATTAATTAAAGGATTAAAATCAATGGAGAAGGTTGAGAAAAAAATCACTAAATCTCAACAGTAAAATGAACAAAAGAAGTGGTCAGAAATTCTCAGAAGGCTAATTGCAAACTGGTAAGCATGAAAAATGTTTAACTCACTAGTAATTATAAAAGTTTAAGTTTAAAAGTGATTTGGTGTTGTGCATTTTGCTTTATGTTTTATTACATTGTTCCACGTAAACAAGTGATGAAATAACAGTGAGGACAAATTGGTTTAGGCTTCCTGGAAACCAATTTGACATATACCAAGAACCTTTAAGAACAGCACACAAGGTTTTATTTCTGGGCATCTATATCTGTCAGCTTTTTCTTACTTGAGTCACAATACTTGAAATGCACAATTTGAAGGACGGGCTTTAATTTGGCTCAGATTCAGGACATTCAGTCAGTGATAGGCAGGCTCCAAAGCATGGTATCATGGTGAAAGAGTATGGCAGAGCAGAGTTGCTCAGTTCATAGTAGCCTGACACAGAGCAGGGAAACAGTGCTAGAGGCAAAAAGGCAAACGACAAGAGATAGACTTCAAGGCTATGACTATAATCCAGCAAGAAGTACATTCCACTAATCCCACAGATCAATCCCAAAGCTGATCAAATTCATACTCCACCCTAACAGCCACATTGCACTCTTGTCAACAAACACATCTCTTTAATCCATGCTTAATCTCCAAATAAAGACAGTAAATTCATAATTTTGCCTAACATTTGCAACTATACTATTTACAACTGAAAACACAACAATCTTTCTCCAGCATTTTTGTAAAGTCCAAATCAAAGTCTCTTTTTCTGAGACTCAAGGCAACCTCTTATCTGTGAACTTCTATAAAGTCAAAAACAAGTTGCAGAATGTCAGAATACAAATGGCACAGGGTAAACAATCCCATTCAAAAAAAGAAGAACAAGAGGATAGAAAAGAATTGGACCAAAGTAAAACAGGAAACCAGCAGGGCAAGCATTAAAGTCTTGTGGCTCCATATCTGGAACCCAGAGTACTCTGTGGTAAAGTGTGAGTTCCATAGGCCTCACCTTATGGCATTGGTGGTTGCAGCCCATACAGCCTCCTTCTCAGGATGGCTCCACTCATGGCCTGAGCTTTCCATAGCAGATATTCCACAATCTTGGCATCTCTGATTTTCTGGGTTCTCTTCAACACTTTTGGCTTCATTCCCACAGCTTTGCAAACTGCCTTTTGTAGGCTACTCGCTTGATCTTCCAGGCTCCTGTGAAGTCTGAGTGGAAGCCTCCCTGACCTTCTAACTCTTGTATTTTACATGCCAGTGAAACCAACATTCTGTGGATGATGCCATGGTTTTTCACTAGCTTGAATAGTATCTGGGTCTCCCTTATACCACAATGAAACAAATGAAGAGGAATCAATTCCCAGAAAACTTTGCTCAATGAAATATTCCAGGAGCTTTATTCTCGAATGAAAAGTTTACACTTTTGCACCTTTAAGCCTGTGATGGATGGGGTCTTGGTGATTTCCAGGATGCTTTCAAGACATTTTTTTTGTCCCTAAACAAAGCACTTGGTTTCTTTCCAGTGGTGCTAATTTCTTCCATATGATTCCTTTAGGGCCAAAATTTAAAGTTTAAAAATTTTTCTTCTTTGCTTTTTGCTCCTGATTCTTACCATAAATCTGGCAAAAGGCAGAGAGTAATATTCATACCATAGCCTGAATGTTGTGCTGCTTTAAAATTTCCTCTGCCAGATTAATAAATTCACTAACCTTAATCTTAATCTCTCACAAAGTCTCAGAACCTCTTTCTGCCAGGGCGTAACACACATGGCCTCTTGTTCAGTTACCAGTGGAGTTCTCATTCTTATCTGAAGCCTCTTGAGCCTGCCTTTAATGTCTGCATTCCTGCTAACATTCTGATCTTTTGAGCTCTGATCAGAATTGCCCAACAAGTTCTGTCTTCAACATTCTAAGCGTTCTCTAGGCCACATCTCCAAAGTTTTCCAAATTCCTACTGCAAACCAACTCCAAATTCATATAAACTACAAGATGATGTATATTCACAGCCATGACACTGTTATCCTAGTAAAAACCGTATCAGGGACATAAATAGACATTTATGTATATTTATCATGTCATCATTTAAAATAAAAAATGAAAATCATGCAATATGAAAAATTAGAGAGATGATTAAGACATTGTGAAATCTTTTTTTTTTTTTAATTGGTACTGAGGATCCAACTCACGACTGCCTGCTTGCAAAGCAGGTGCTTATGCCGCTGAGCTAAATCCCCAGCCCTGACATCGTGAAATCTTAGCAAAGGTGTTTTAGAAGCATTTTTGAGGAAAAAAGAAATATGACATTAATGGAAAATGCTGATAAATATGCAATATAAAGGTGATTGTGTTATTAAAATGGATTTTACTGAACTTTAAAAAAATCTATGTAAAATTGCATTCAATTATAAGCTGTAATTTTTTTCTGCTCTCCAATGCAACATAGGTTGAGTGCCATCCATATTTTACCCAGCCCAAACTCTTGAAATTTTGCCAACAACATGACATGGTCATTGTTGCATTCAGCCCTTTGGGGACTTCTAGGAATCCCACTTGGTAAGTAATGCTAAATGTATCTTCAGAATATATTTCCTTTGATGTAGGCTATAATAAGAATTAGCTGATTGGAAAGGTTCTATGTAACTCATTAGTCTGAAGAAGTAAGATTTTCATATAATTATCTATATAAATTAATTAGAGCTAATAATATATTGCTAAGGTTTTAAGTGCTTATTACATAAAGTACTTGAAGTTATCTATCAGTGACTCATATGTAGAAATGCTCAATAAATTTGAGTTTAATTATTATTTGATAAACTTTCTATGCTCATGTTCAAAATATACTGTAGTATATTTTAGTATATGTAGTATATATATTAGTATATGTAGTATATATATTAGTATATGTAGTATATATATTAGTATATGTAGTATATATATTAGTATATGTAGTATATGTAGTATATATTACTACTTAATCTGTATTCAGTGATAACATTTCTGTTATGTAGTCCAAAAACTTAAGCAGAAAATTTTCTATTCTGATTTCCAGAGTTGTTACACTGTTTCTTCTCCAGTTTTCCTATCTTTCACTATTTGTCTACTCCTGGCCCAGCTTTTGGAAAACAATATTTTTTACTGTAAAAGAGCTATAAATATTTGCTTCTCCTATCTTTTCCATTCTAAGAGAAACCCTTCACTCAATGAGTTGTTTACACTAAAAAAAAAAAAAATGGCCACAGATAACACCAACTGTCCTGATAGGTGACTAGATAAAGAGGGAGACAGAAGAGACTAATAAAATTAATCCTTGGTTATCAACACTCCAACCAAATATGATGCATGTTTTTATTTTTTAAAGGGTGAATGTATCTTCTCCACCTTTGCTAGATGACACATTTTTAAACTTAGTAGCAAAAAAGTACAATAAGACAGCAGCTCAGGTGGCTCTACGTTTCAATATTCAACGAGGGGTGATCGTAATTCCTAAAAGCTTTAATCCTCAAAGAATCACAGAAAACTTTCAGGTAAGACAATTGCTTTGGAAACTTCGAAATATGGCTCTATTTGTTGCTCTACTTTCAAAGAATGTTCTTGGAAATTTCACTCACTGATACCAAATAATTTCTCCATAACTTCAAGTAACACCCTGCATTACCCAACAACCCATGAGTTGTAATCTGTAATCATAAAAACGAAGCCCAGGGGCTGAGGGTTTAGGTCAGTGGCATGTGCACCTGCCTGGCAAGTGCAAGGTCATGAGCTCCATCCTTGTGTACCCCCACCAAAAAAAAACAAAGTCCAATACACATCTCCTTTCTTCTCCACCCATTTCCATTTCTCTTCCCGTTTATAGCAAACACCAGAAAAAAGAAGTCTCTTCTCATTTCTACTTCCCAACTCTCTTCTACATTCATTTAAACTAGGCTTTTACCTTGACCATCTGACTAAAAAAGCTCTTCTCAAAGTCATTAGGGGTTGCTTATCCATTGGACCTTTCAACTAGCTTTAACATAGTAAATGTTCTCTTCTTAAAATAGTAACTGTGATGGGAAAGCATAAGAGATACAGCTTTGAAGGAGAATATCAAGAGTTCACTTTTGTAACATAAAATCCACATTCACTTTAGGTAATTTGTGCTATGAAACAAAAACCCCAACTGAAAATGCATGCACATACAATCATTGCATAGGCATAAAGGAAAATCATTGCTTAAATATAATGTAGATAAGGAATATTTGAAAGTATATCTTAAAATTGAAACAAAGATTTGTGGAAACATGAGTATTTCATTCTCAACAAATTCACTGAATACAGACAGACTTGTAGAAAAAACATTAATCAGTGTTGTTTTCTTACACACTTGACAAAATTATGTGATAACACCATGTGTTATCTTCTATTTCACAAAGATTTTTGCAGAAAATAATGAAAGAAATAATTCTGAAAAAAATGAAGAGTTTCTTTTGAAAGGGCTCCTCAATTCTTGAATTTTTTCCAGTTATATATATATATTTTTTTGATGCATAAGTAGATTTTTAACCATGTTAGATCTTTTTTTTTAAAAGTTGTGTCTGTATTAGAAGAAATCTCCCAAGTCACTCCCATTAACCTCATCAAATCCTGCATCTTTTCAAGATTTCCTTCACTCTGCATTTGGCTAAAGCAAGCATGGAAGTAGATGACCAAGCTATCAGTTAAGAAAAAAGAAAGTTTGAATAAAGATTCACTTTTAAATGATTATTTCATTCATGACTGCTTTTATGTTATATACCTTTTTGATCTCTTATACTCTCATACACATCAATACATGGATGATAATTAATCAAGAAAAATTCTCTGGAAAGAATATTCAGATATGATACATAGAAAAACAATTAAATAATCAGGTTACATGACTCATGTTATCTCTAGGGAAAAGACAACAGTGATTAAGTGAATTGTCTGCATGTATATTTGAATAGAAAAGCCAATATGATAATTAAGCTATTATGTAAATAAAGTTACAGAATAATAAATATATGCCCCAAGAGCATATTTCCTCTGAATATGTTTAATATCTGTAAGGCATATCTGGAGGAACTTTCTTCATTTATTCCATTATTTATCTATTATTGTTCTATTGTTTTGCTTCTTTATAAAAAGTATACATAATAGTACCTCTGTTCATTTGTTTATGAGTTTGGGAAAAATGGTCGCATTTGTGTTTGTGTTGTGAAGATGGTTGAGGTTGTGTTTGTCACCTAATGTGAAACTGGTGAATGAACACAATATTTTTTCAAAAGCTTGTGAACAAAATCATTCATGAACTGAGGTATTACTGTATTTATGAATACTTGTACAGTTAAAATTTGTAAGTCATTAAATGTATTAAAGTGAAGTTATGGCATAGAAAGATAATAATGTAAGAAGAGAATTACAAACAGATAAACTAAATATAACTGAAAATATATTAAAATGCTAATAAAGGCCATAGAGTAAAATGCTAATATAAACGAAGTATAAAAACTAAGAAAAATGGTTACCATAAGAAAGTAAAAGAGACATTAAAATGATGAGAGAAAGAACCTCAGAGATAACATAAAGCAAATTAAAGTTAAAAATAAACAAATTTAGAAAGTGAGAAATATTTTTTAAAAAACTCTGAGATAGTAGATAGGACAGAATTAAAACTTCAGCATCCTATGTGAGAATAATAACTCTTTACCTTTGGAATCTCAGATCTCCTAAACACATGTTGTTTCAGAGAATTAGAAATTTCTTGTAAGATATTCCTGACAGGGTCGTCTCAAAGACAAAGGGAAAAATGCAATGTTGAACTCCAAATAAGTGGGGTTATGTCCATTTCTCCTTAGACATCTAGAGAGGGTCACCCACTTCAAAGGACTGCCAGAGCTCACTCCCCTGTGGTCACTGTATTGCTCATTTTCTACCTTCAAAAATGTTCTGTATTTTATTTCCATTATATTTCAGATCTTTGACTTTTCGCTTACTGAAGAAGAAATGACCAACATTGAAGCCTTGAATAAAAATACTCGCTTTGTGGAACTGCTTATGTAAGTTCTGGAGGACTACTGATTGGGTGCTGCCTTGTATTAGATTGTCAAATGTCAGCTGGCAAGGATGCAACATAGGAACCAGATCTATGTTCATGGAAAGTGCCAGAATAAAGGGTGGGCAGCACTTTCAGAATATTTAACATGTCTGATATAATACAACTACTAGAGGAATCTTCTATACCACACTTCCACTTGACAAAGTCAAATATTTATGACATTCCCTGACTTAGATTAAGACACAAAAAAATTAAGACTAAAAACCCTGAAGGGAATTAACTCACAATATTTATATATGAAAACGACAACAGTACAAATACTGAAATAACATGTTTTTTTCTTCCTAAAGTTTAAAGTGGTGCAGAAATGAGAGCAAATTTATGAAAAATATTTCTGGAAGAGAAGAGACATGATAATTTAGACAGCACCAATTGGGAAAGAAGAACCAAGCATTACAAATACTTCCTTAGTTATAAGATGTAATGTTTCTAATTCTCCTTACTAACTGACTTCTCAGAGCAGAATTTGTTACTTCTTCAAGATGTGGACAACTTCAGCTCACCAACTGAAGTACCTGTTCATTCTCTGAATATTTCAGGTCTTTTGAAAATAAAATATTAAAGTAAGTCAGTGGTATAATGTTTGCCTAGTGTGTACAAAGCCCTGGATTTGATCTCCAGTACCACAAAATTAAAAATAATATAGATTATACACACACTCACAAATATGTATTTATATATCCACACATATATTTTTCTTCTTAGACTCCATTAATCTCTCCAATTCATTAAATTGCCTTACAATTTTTTATTTGCAATCTTCTTTTCAAGAGAGCATTTAGTAAAAGCTTATTAAAGTTATCCATAGAGTTTAGACACTTATCTTTGGCTGAAATACATACATTCCAGGCTCTTATAGGCTCTTTGACCATTGTTATGTGAAAGATAAAGTTATCATTGTCATCATCACCACAAGTAACCTTACTTTGAACACAAACATAGGGAAGCAAGGCTCACATCCTGTGTTTTTGTTTTAGGTGAAATATTGGTGTGCAACAATCAGCCTTTCCATACCCTATCACACACTCACACCTAAGAGTGCTCTCCAGAGCTGCAGGAGCATATGGAAAGGAAGGATAGTGAGGGGAAAACAAAACTCAAATGAGCAAGAGGTGCATGTGGCCAGTGAAGTGATCAAGATGTCAGCATCATAGCAACCGTGCCCCTTATTGAGTGAACTGTTTCCTTTTGTTTTGGCAGGTGGAGTGACCATCCTGATTATCCATTTTTTGATGAATACTGACTTTAGAGAATTCAACTGATTTTTTTTCTCTACATCAAGAACCCTGTAGTGAGTAGTTCCACAGAAAAGGAAACAAAAGAGTTTTACTATCTTTAGAGGAATTTGTGATGAAATTATGTCACATTTAACTTCTGTGTAGTGTAAGTGCCCTCCACTTAGCTACTTTAAAGAATGAAATATTTTAATATATTGATATAACTCCTCAGAAATTATCTGTTAATTTTGTTATATCTATACTTTTGGGTATAGACATAAACACAGTAAGGTTTACAAAATACTTCAAAAACAGTGTGTAAAGACAATTAACTCATAAATATAGATACTGTCATTGAGGTTCTGTGTTGTTCAGCACTTGAAAAGACAACAAAAGGCATAGAGAGTTGGCATGCATGAAGGTACAGGTAGAGATCTAAATGGTTTATATCAATGGATGTAATCCTGGCATAGGTAAAATGAGATTTGCTAAACCATAAGTAGTGAAAAAGGGCAAAGTGTAGAAAGGTCTCATAAGGGAGCTAATTAAACACACAATGATAAAAAATTTAATGAATATCATTCCTGAGAACACTATTGTTTAGCTGAGGCTTTGGGCCATGTTAAGTAATTATGCTAAGGATGTCATTTATAGTTAGGGAAACTTCGACTACATGGTGATAGTCTAACCATTATGGTGCCAAAAACTGACTCACTAAAGTCAGCCTTACACGTATTCTATGCCTCCGTAACAACGCTCATAAAAACCTGGACCTCAGTCATTATAGGGATAATTAAACACTGCGTATATAAAACTTTTTTGGAAGAAAATAACCACACATTTGTACCTGGTCTTCTCCTTGATTCTACCTTATGCTCCTTCTAGTGTGGCTAATTTTAATCTATTTCCTTTTACTGTCATAAATAATTATGAATATAACAGTGTTCTTAATTTTGTCAGTCCTTTTAATAAATCATTGAACTGCAAGGTGGTCTTGAGGACTTCTGATCACAAATGCTTAAAATAAAATTGAACAAAATGCAAAGGTTTCCCTGGGAACTAGTTAGTCTTTGAAGAAGCCTGCAAGACCTGCAGACCCCAAACTTTTTGGCAGCAGGAACAGGATTTTTGGAAGACTAATTTTTCATAAACAGGATAATGTTTTGGGGATAATTCCAACACATTACAGTTATTGCACGACTCATAGGGCTGGGGATTTAGCTCAGCAGCATAAGCACCTGCCTGGCAAGCATGAGGTTGTGAGTTCAATCCCTACTACAAAATAAAAATTGCACATTTCATTTCTATTATTCATTACACTGTGATATATAATGAGATAACTATATATCTTAGCAAAAGAAGAATCAGTGGGAGCACTGAGCTTGTTTTCCTGCAATTAGATGATCCCATCTTGGGGGACGGGAGACATGACACTTGAGGTATGTTGCTTATGCCCGGTCTACTAAATTGTTTTAGTTAATGTTACTATAGAAAATGCTGCCTCTCAAAGATAGGATGTTGGAAATTCTCAGTGATTTTGTTGCAATCTCAGGATATTCTACCTAGACAGTAACAGAACAACAACAACAAGAAAACATGAAACACATAAAAATTCTATAAACTAAGACACTTCTAGATAAATTGGCTATGCTGAATTATAATATTATTCTGAAAATCTTCAAAGTCTTATCTGGTACTTGATCTCCATGTGGTGAAGCACTTTGAAAGTTTTTATGATTTACTGGATAGCCAGTAACCACGTATTACACAAAGTAAGTTTGGGGAATGTGAATTACATGAAACAGTAAGCCCATAACTTAAATAGAGCTCCTGGTATTTTCTCTTCTATACAGCTTTCTTTTTGCTGATGGTCTTGAAGTCTTCTGCTGTCTCACCACTGGGTCTTTCACTCTTTTTCTTTTCTTTTTTTTTTTTTTTTTGTACCAGGAATCCAACTTACAACCTCATGCTTGCTAGGCAGGTGCTTATGCCGCTGAACAAACTCCCCAGCCTCTTTTACTCTTTTTAAAGAAGCTAACAGTAGTGTGTGTGTGTGTGTGTGTGTGTGTGTGTGTGTGTGTGCTTGATTACTTATTAGGATTTACCAAAACTATGACTGAGACAAATGCACAATATAGGAAACAGATGTGGACAGGAGCAGCAAGTAAAATAGGGCAGGCCATGGACAACCAAAGTAAGTGATGCAATCTGACGTGAAGCCTGCTGCCAGGAGCTTAGGAAAGTTATGTAAACCATGAACGCCCAACATAGGAAAGAAAAGGAGTCCATCAATCTGATTCAAACTAACATTCAGGTGAATAAAAATTCCATTGAAAGTATACACAGGATGAGCAAAGGTTAGGAACAGAATGTCAGTTATGAATGACAAGATTGTGGTTAGCAAGCATGACAAGAAAGATTTCTTAAAAATAACAAGGGCCCATGACAAATCAATTCAGCAGCTGCTAGATGATGCAAAGAAGAATAACATAAGATGGATGCCAGAAATATAGCTCAGTGGCACAGAACCTGCATGGTGAGCATGTGATCTTGAGTTCAATTTCTGGTAATATTTTTTTTTAAAAAAAAGGAATAACAGAATAGTGATTGGAGTCAACGAAACAGGCAGATGCCATAAGTGATATAAAAAACATGTTTGCAGACAGCCTGGAAAGAAAATTTCCCTGACAGGGAAACGTATCTGACATGCAGATAAGTGGGGCATATAAAATTCCAATTAGCCATGATTAAAAACAAAACATCTACAATAAGGCACGCAGTGAAAGGATTTTGGCCCAGTTGGGACACTGTAGCTGGTAAAGCTGGGAGGCAGAACCAGGGGGCTCTATCTTGAGCTCCATCTTCCCTGCACCTAGGAATTTACCTGTGGCCAAAATGGATACCAATGGGCTACCTGCGCATCACTAACGCCCCTCAGGCACCACCCCAAACCTAAGCTACATGTATGACCCCACTTCACATGTCGGTCGGAGAGATTGCCAGACCCTGAAGAGAATGCCGACCTCAGTGGGTCGGGGTCTCTCCCTGCATTCTTAAAATAAAGCTCATTTATATTTCATACTTTTTATCTTTTCAGCTGCACCACAATTCTATCACGCAGTAGTCAAGATTCTAGAAATTTAACACAAGAACAGAATACTAAAAGCTATTAGAGAAAAGGAAACAAATCATCTCTAAAGGAAAGCCCATCAGAGTCAAAGCAGACTTCTCAACACAGACTTAAGACAATGAGATCTGCCTGGAAATGAAGCACTTCAAGCCCTGAAAAGAAGAAAAAAAAAAAAAACACATCAAACTCAGGTTGATGTACCCTGTAAAACTATCTTTTAAATCTGATGAAGAAATAAGACATTCTCATGAGAAAAAACACCTGAGGAAATTAGTGCACACCAAACCAGAACTCCAAAATGTTCTGAAGGACATTCTAGAAATAGATGACGATGATTACAGCTTCATGAACCCCCAAGAAAAGACATGGAAAAAATATTCTGAATTTCCCAAAACTAAAATGACACAACTAATAGATACAGTGCATGCATGGTGATTGAATAGTGACATCAAATCTAGTTGGAGAAAATCACAAGAATTTGAATATTAATCCATTAATTTGAATATTAATGATATTTGGAACTTATTTCTCATTTTCTTGGATGACAGTACACTTTCATTAGCAGTATTGGAAAAGGACAGTTCTATGTACAAAATAATTTTAAAATTTATATCAACATTCAAGAAAATGAGTAAAACTATAATATAGAAATATGATTCAAAAATAATCACAGCATTATGTACTACATAAAATTTTTATCAGGAAGTCTGTCCTTCAGAACCTAAAAACAATTATCTTAATATTTCTAATAAATATTACCCTTAAAATATCTTTCAAGTATTTTGCCTGGTCTATTACACTGTTTCACGGAGGCAGTAAAATATAGTCTCTGTGACTTTACCTTAATTAGAAGCAGAAGACAAAATATTGAAAAGAATATGAAGATTTTTTAATGTAAGCAGAAAAAATTTACAAAAATTGCAAATATTGATACTTGGGAATATTACTCTTGTCCCACTAATGTATTTCATAGCAAAGTAGGATACATGTACGTGTCACATTTAATAACCATCAGCATCATTTCTAACAAGAATTTACAAAGTTAAAAAAACTCACAAAGAGTAAGATACTTAGATATACTTTAGCACATGTATATTGTTTTGTAATGAACAGAGATAAATTTAAACTTTACTGAAACTCCTGGAGGAATTTTCCATTCGAGATGACTAGGTGAGTATACTAAGAGCTAACTTCACATTATGATCTCAGTTTTTTAAGGAAAGAAAACCCATACATGTATTTATGTGTATATGAGCATGTGCATGTGCCTGTGTGTGAAGACACTGTTCGTGTTAGTAAGGAAAAAAAAAAAAGCAAAGAATGGGCCAGGGATACACTCAGTGGAACAACACCTGCCTGGCAAATGCAAGTTTGAGTTCAATTTCAGGTACCAAAAAAATGGAAAAGGAAAGAAAGACATGTTATCTTAAAAAATTAAACTTTTATTACACAAAATTTTAGGAAATGGCTGGGCGGGCAGCTAGGGTCTATACCTGGGTCTGCGTCCTTTATCTCTCACACTTTTCTGCTCCACACTATGAACAGTTGTGCTCTGCCATACCACCCTGCCTTGGAGCCAGCTGACTATGGACTGAAGCATCTACTACTACCTGTGAACTAACTAAACAGTTCCTCGTCAAAGGTGGTGTTAGATATTGTGTCTCAGAGATAAAGAAACTAAAATAATTAAGCATGGAAGAAGAAAAGGTAAACATAAAGCCAAAGCAATAGAAATTTCTGAAAAGAAAACATGGACAGAAAAATAATTGTAACTATTCAGCCATAAAGAGGGATAAAGTTGAGACTTTATCAGTAAATAGATACAACTCAAGACCATCCTGGTAAATGAAATAAGTCAGATCCACAAGTCTAAATATCATACTGCCCTAGTAGTGTGAGAAACTGAGCAAAATAAGAATCAAAATGTATAATAGGTATTGTGGATTGGGACGAAACTGTTCAAAAGGAAATAGAAACTGATATGGGGACGGGATAATGGAAGGAAGAAAGAAAGAAAAAAGGAAGGAAGGGAAAAGGAAAAAAGATGGTTAAGATATACTTAGTTTGTCTTAGTTCATTGAAAAGAAAGGTTTGTACCAATATTGTTTGGAAAATATTTCATGCCTATATCTGTACTCTAAGTAACTACTATGAAGATAACAATATGCATTGTATTATTGTTATTATCTTATTAGATTGCTTTGAAACTTTTATTTATATTTCTATTTTCTCTTTAAAATAATACAATGAAATAAAATACTTGCAAAACAATAAAAAAGAAAAGAATTGTAAAAATGAAAAGAACACACTTGACCTGTAGGACAATATCAAGAAGTCTAATACGGGCAGCTGAGTATTTTCATGAAAGGGAGATAGGGAAGGCACAGAGGAGATACACAAAGACTGAGTCTGAAGACCTCTTGAAATAAGTGCTCAAAAAATAAAATGAACTAGGTGTGTGTGATAATGATTGTATAACTTACCCAACAGTTCAACAAAATAAACCAATGAAACACTAAAAAATGTTTAACCACAAAGCAGGGATAAAAGTGCAGAGGAACCAATAACAGAGAACTAATAGAAAACAAATACTGAAACAGGGACAAATCCTAGAGCAATCATTTAAATATTAATGGGATAATAATATGTAGTGAATATTAAGTAATAAAAACAGGAAAAAATTACCCCCACCCTACACACACGAACACACACACACACATACACAACACACACACACACACACACACACACACACACACACACACACACACACAGTGCAATGGCAACCACCTGGAATCACAGCAATTGACAAAGACTGAGATAATAGAATCACAAATTTGAGTCCTGCCCAAACAAC